CTCACCACAGCCAACAGACAACACAGAGAAATAAAAGGCATCAAGATTGGTAAAGAAGATGTTAAAGTGTCACTGTTTGCAGATGAACTGTGCCATCATTATCTGGTCCCTAATATGTTACCCTTTATACAGCTGCACAGATCCCCTCTCTCCCCCATTCCTAACACCTGACAACCGTGGCACTGCTCCCCATCTTTCTAATTATGTTAGTTCATGAATATCAGATAAATGAAATCGTACAGTTTGTATCTCTTGGAGATTGGCTTTTTTCTCTCGTAGAATTTCCCCATGAACCACCTCAGGTTGTCGCATGTGTGAACACTTCATTCCTTTTTAGGGATAACTTGCATTCCTTTGTATGAATGTGTCAGCATTTATTTAATGATTCACCCACTAAAAGGACATTTTGGTGCCTCTCACCTCCAAATTTTACCTATCTTGAATACATCTGCAGTGAGCATTCATGCAGAACATTCTGCAAGAAAGTAAATTTTTTAGTTCTGTGGAAAACATCTCAAGAGAGAAGTTGTGTTGATGGTAAACCATTTATAGTTTTAAAGCCAAACTATTGCTGAGAATGGCTGTAACATTTGATATTCCTACCAATAATACATGAATCACCAAGTTTTTTGGCATCCTCACCTATATTTCATGATACCACTGATTTTCTTTTAGCCATTCTATTAGGTGTATATTAATATCTCATTGTGGTCTTAATTTGCATCCCCCTAATAGGTAATGATGCCACATATCATTAATATATAAGCTTGGCATCTTTATATTCTCTTCAGTGAAAAGTCTGTTCATGTCTTTTGCCCATTTCATATCTTTTTCTAATTGGACTGTTTGTATTTTTAGATGTTGAATTCAGATTTTTTTATTGTTTTCTAGTCACAAGTCACATGTATTTTGTTGGTTATGTGACTTGAACATATCTTCTCCAAGTCTAAATTTTTTTCTCAGACCAAAGGTATTTTTAATTCTTACTTTATAAGGTCTGGTTTTTTTCTTTTTGGATCATGCTTTTGTGGTCCTGTGTATGAACTCTTTGTCAATCTTAAGTCCTGAATATTTTCTGCTATGATATATCTAGAATGTGTGTTTTCATATTTTACATTTAAGTCCATGATCCATTTTACATTACTTTTTATAAAGGATTGGAGATTAATTTTTTGGTTAATGGGTGTCCAATTTCCAGCACAGTTCTTTGATAAAGCTGACTCATCCATTTGTTTTTTGCACCTTATCAAAAATTAACTGGACATTTTCATGTTGCCGTATTTTTCAGTTCTGTGCTCAGTTGTCATTCTCTCCACCAGTGCTACACTGTTCTGATTATTGTAGTTGTACAGTAGCGTTTAACATTGGAAAAGCGATTCCTCTCACTTTACTCTTCTTTTCCAAGTTCTAGGGTCTTTCCTTTCCATATACATTTTAGAATAAGCTTGTCTGTGTATACAAAAAGTATTGCTGTGATTTTGATATAAGTTGTATTAAACTTATGGATGAATTTTACAGAAATGAAACCACATACTTACAGTCACTGATTTTTGGCAAGGGTGCCAAGGCAATTCAGTGGTCTTTCCAACAATTGGTGTTGAGACAAGTAGATATCCACATGGAAAGGAAAGAAGTTAGATTGCTACATTATAACAATCACAAAAGTTAACTGAAAATGGATCATAGATCCAAATGTAAGGGCTAAACTTATAAAACAGAACATGTATAAGGAAATCTTTGTGACCTTGGCATAGGCTATGTTATAGAAGACACCGGAGCACAAAGAAGCAAGAGACTGATTGAACTACATCAAGATTAAGAATTTTTGTGCTGCCTATGGTACATCTAAGAAAGTGAAAGAAAAACTACAATATGGGATACACATATTAGCAAATCTTTTATCTCATGTGGGAATTATATCCAGAATATATAAAAAACACTTATAAGTCCATAAAAAAGACAAAGTGCAATTAAAATTGGGAAGGGCTTTAAAGAAATACATCACCAAAGAGGAAATAAGCCCATGAAAGGATGCTCAACATCTTAGGAAAATGCAAATCAAAACCACAATGAGCTGCTACCCCACACATTAGAATGATTATTAATGACACAGGTAACACGTGTTACTAGTGAGGCTGTGGAGAAATTGGGATCTCCTTGGTCTCTGTTTCCAGCACTGCTCAAACTCTAGTCTCTCCTTTCTATTCTTGACCTAGTAAAAGCTGCTGTCTAATAATCAGCTGCAGATTGTCCCATAAGATTGTCCCATACCCTGTGTCTGTATTGTCCTTCTCTCTCTGCCAAGAACTTCCGGGAGACCCCCCAGTGCTTCTGCGGGCCTCAGTGCACAGGGCATCTTCCTCTCCAGTGCCACCCTGCAGATCCCAGCCGTTTCTGCTGCTGAGAACAGAGCCTTTGCCTCCTGAACGCAGTGAGAATGCTATGCTTTGCTCAGGCCTGTGATTCTCTGTGCTCAGATCAGCCGATTGGCCACAGGTAGAATTGTATTTTCATAAAAACACCCTCATGTTTTCCTTCCTTTAGATGTTAGAGTTTCCAATGTCCTGTTGAAATCCAGAAACCATTTCCCTCATGTATTTTGCCCTGTTTTATATTTTCTTATAAAAAGGCTTGGTTGGCACCACTTACTGGAAAAATTTAATCCTGGCCAAAGTGGAAGCCCTGTCTTTCTTCCTTGGGGTAATGGATAGTGCCCAATTAATCCAATAATAATTAGGTCCAATTTCTTTAATCAGCCCTTGGAGTGATTAAGCACATGAGAGGGAAGCTCCACTTCCAAAATGGTCACTTTTGTGAAGGTGCACTAATGGGGCAGTGACCTTTTCTGATGGATGAGGCAGGGAAAGCAGAACTTTCCATGGTGGGTTCCACCCTAGCAGAACACTGCTGCACAGTGGCTCCATTTCAGTATTTCTGCACATTTGTGCCAATTTCCTTACTGTAATATATAAAACATCCTGAATCACCTTCTTTTAGGGAAATCACTTTTTGTCAGGGGCATTCATTTGCATTTAATACCATCATAGTTGTTTTTGTGATAATTCTGACAGATTAATTTAATTTTTTGTATTTTAGTCACCTGATTTATTTCTTCCATTTAACTGAAACAGATTTCCATAGATTTTTCTAATTGTGCTGTCTTTATAACATCTAGAGGAAAATCTATTTTTTAAATTAATAGTCAAAATTTGAACAATATAATCTTATACAGATAGTATGGAAATTAAACCTAGTCTGCTATCATTGTTTTTTTAAATTAATCTTCCATTATGTCAATAATTTTTCATTAAATCACTTTTAAAATAGTTCTTTTTTTGGCCTATTTTTTAAGTGTGTACTTAGGATAAATATCAATTTTATGCATTCTAAGAAATTTATAGGATGGAATATGATAGAAGAAAATACATTAGTATATAGCACAATATATCACATATATATTATATGTTATGTAAATATGTAATTTAAAATAAATTTATGTCAATTATGTGGAAAGACAGAGAGTGAGAGACAGAGAGATACAGAGATGACAAATATATAAAGCCCTTTGAGGAAAAACACTTTTAAAATTAAGTTTATTCATTTTCTGACTGTATTATCTGAATCCCCAGTTTATATAATGCAAATGACTAATATGCTTTGAATATCATTTTTGACAGGTTAAAAGGCACTTTCATGTTTTCAGGTAAAAATTTTGTGAAACCATGTTCTGTTCCTCGAAGAAATGGCCTTGATCAGTTTCTACGTTTTTCTACCTTTCCTTATTTTAATGGCCGTCATTGTTCTTAAATGGAATAAAATGAGATTTTGGAAAAGAGAGGCAACAACAAGTGGAGAGTAAGTACAAATTTTTTATATAATATTTAAAATGCATTATGGGAAGAATTCAGATGTAATTCCGAAGTACTACAAGTAAGGGCTCTTGGATTGATTGGGCTAATGTTTAGAAATATTATCTGAGTATATCCCAGTGTCTTTCAGATTTCAGAATGTTTGTTATCCTTCCTGTTCTTATAGGACCAGAACCAACTGAAAGTACGCAGTCAGTGCTCAGTGCTGTTCACAGAGAAAGCCACGTGGGCTAGAGTTTCTGTAGGAGGTTCTGGCTGCTCTCCAAGCAACCCCATTCCCAGCATTGCCATTCAGTTGTGCCAAGGAGATCAATACATACAGGGAAGCAGGTTTGGTGACTAGAATATGGAGAAGGTGGGAAAACTATAAGATGGCCAAGAAGGAGGGAGAGAACATGAGACAGACCACTGCCCATTTAACACTTAATCAATATAATATTGCTCATATGTTTCTAAAATTAGAATTAAGGTACTTGCATAGCTGTTGCTTTGTAGAGCAGAACTTGGTTAGGTCTTTATTCTCATTAGGTATGACTGGGAGATGACATATTTTGGGTGTCTGATGTAAGGAGGTGATATGTACACACTGTGAAATGATCAGTGTGACATGACATATAGTTAACATCTGTCACTGAATGTAGTCAAAAAAAGCTTTTTCTTATGATTTTTAAGATCTATTTTCTTAGCAAGTGTAGTCCGTATGTTGTGCATTACATCATCATGACTTTTTAATTTTTATTTTGGAAGCTTGTACCTTTTGACCCTCTTCACCCATTTAGCCCACCCCCTGCTCCTGCCAACTGACAGTCTGTTCTCTGTATCTATCTGCTTGTTTTTGTTTTTAATGCTTATATTCCACATATGAGTGAGATAATTATTTGTCTTTTTGACTTATTTTACTTCAGAGTTTTTTCATTACAACACGAATACAAACCACAATTTGCTTAGTGAATATTTTAGGAAAATGAGAATGCCAAAGTAAGGATAAGTAAATGGGTCTCATTCCTCCAAACTAATGGAAAATGTCTGTCTAGAAGTACTACAAGTAAGGGCTCTTGGATTGATTGGGCTAATGTTTAGAAATATTATCTGAGTATATCCCAGTGTCTTTCAGATTTCAGAATGTTTGTTATCCTTCCTGTTCTTATAGGACCAGAACCAACTGAAAGTACGCAGTCAGTGCTCAGTGCTGTTCACAGAGAAAGCCACGTGGGCTAGAGTTTCTGTAGGAGGTTCTGGCTGCTCTCCAAGCAACCCCATTCCCAGCATTGCCATTCAGTTGTGCCAAGGAGATCAATACATACAGGGAAGCAGGTTTGGTGACTAGAATATGGAGAAGGTGGGAAAACTATAAGATGGCCAAGAAGGAGGGAGAGAACATGAGACAGACCACTGCCCATTTAACACTTAATCAATATAATATTGCTCATATGTTTCTAAAATTAGAATTAAGGTACTTGCATAGCTGTTGCTTTGTAGAGCAGAACTTGGTTAGGTCTTTATTCTCATTAGGTATGACTGGGAGATGACATATTTTGGGTGTCTGATGTAAGGAGGTGATATGTACACACTGTGAAATGATCAGTGTGACATGACATATAGTTAACATCTGTCACTGAATGTAGTCAAAAAAAGCTTTTTCTTATGATTTTTAAGATCTATTTTCTTAGCAAGTGTAGTCCGTATGTTGTGCATTACATCATCATGACTTTTTAATTTTTATTTTGGAAGCTTGTACCTTTTGACCCTCTTCACCCATTTAGCCCACCCCCTGCTCCTGCCAACTGACAGTCTGTTCTCTGTATCTATCTGCTTGTTTTTGTTTTTAATGCTTATATTCCACATATGAGTGAGATAATTATTTGTCTTTTTGACTTATTTTACTTCAGAGTTTTTTCATTACAACACGAATACAAACCACAATTTGCTTAGTGAATATTTTAGGAAAATGAGAATGCCAAAGTAAGGATAAGTAAATGGGTCTCATTCCTCCAAACTAATGGAAAATGTCTGTCTCTCACTTGTGTAGATGGAGATAAAATAATGGTATAAAAAAATTTCCATCAACACCTCTGTTTCCCAAGTTAGTTAGTTTTATTTACCCACAAGTTAGTAACACCCAGTTAAAGTCAGGGTAGAATTCTGCATGAGGCACATGGACATTTACATAATCACCATCCAGTTGCTCTAAGTGGACTGGATGGAAGGCTGTCTGGCAGAATCTCCCTGTGCTCTTACTTAAGGCACCTTGGACAAACCTCACTGGTTGCTAGAAGTAACCTGACTTTTGTGTCCTAAGGGAGTAACAAAATCTGGTCCTGACAGCCTCCGTTTCAGAGCAATAAGTGGTTTTGGGCTGCACAGGTAAGAGATGACGTGGAGCTGACGCCCAAAGGGTGGCGACGGCCTGGCTGGTTGGGAACCAGGTCCTGCTCCCGTTTCCCAAGGGCCTTGTGGTCGACATCATGTCCTGGTCTGTGGCCTTTCTCTCCAAAATGGATGCTCTGCTTGCACATGGCCCAGCAGACCTTCCTGAATCCTTTCTAGATTCACTTTCAAATAAAACACCGATAATCTGTCCACAGTCAATGCCTTGTAGTTCCTACTCCAGGAGACAGAAGGAGCTAGCTGTGCAGGTGGACCTAAATTCAGCCAGTGTTCTGCTGGATTTACACCCCTGAGTGAGGTGCTCAAACCTGACCTTACCTGTGGCCCAGGAACTGAAGCCATGTAAGGTGAGCCTGAGCACCGGACACTCTTCCTCCTCATCAGGCACTGGGTGTGGGAAGGAGCCCAAGAAAAACTGGAGACTCTGAAAATACCACCAAATGGAACTGAATGTAGCTGAAAGACACAGAAGCCTCCTTACAGGCCACAATAATGAAAGTGAAGTTAGTTATTCACATAGTTATTTGATAGAAATAGTATAATTACAGATATGATAATTTAAGAATTTTAAGATTTACATTTAAATTATCTTTCTAACTTTGGGGAAGTATCATCATATCATAGATATATTAATATCTCATTCTGTCTTCCATGTAGACAAAATAGAAAAAGTACTATATGGATTTTTAGTTTGAAATTTTAAACATGTTTAACTTCTTTGAAAATTAGATTTACATTAGAAAGAGACTGAACAGTAGAATATATGATCAATGAGTGGGATGTGGGAAGGAAGGTGGATATTGGTAATTGTTAATTGAGTAATTACTACAAATCTAGCATTTTTTACTTGACTTTGTTTAAGGCTACAGTGTTTCCTAACCCTAAAAACAACGCTATTTCTCTTACACAGATCTCTGTCAGAAGACAGCAATAATGACAGCAATCAGCCGTACAGATAAAAGGTGAATTAAAGGGATCAAACTATTGACAAAATAATATCATGAGAAATTTTATTACATCTTTAGCAATACTTTAGTGTAAGAAAACTATTGTTCCCATATTTCATCATCCAGATTCCTATTTTCCAATATAATATACCAAAACAAAGACTAAAACAAAGCGTTTGATGTCAATTTTGTTTTAAAGTAATTTAGAAATCGGTAATGTTAACTGATGTTAGGCAGCCATCCACGAACTCCCGTACTTAAGGCTCTGGGGCTAGAGTGACCGAGTGGAGGGAGTAAGGGATGAGTGTGGTTTTGAACATGTGTGTGTGGAACATGTGTTGGAAATGCATGGAGGACTTTTGGAAGTACTCTTCCTCTGCAGATAAAAATAGACAAATTAACAGTAATTATTATCTATCTCCTCACATATTTTTATTGTTCTTGTCCTCTCTGTTTTCTTGATTTTCTTTTACCATGTGAACTGTAGAGATTGTGTACATGAAACACACATAAACTCCAGCTTATAATATCCTTTAAATGTGGCTTCACAGATGATAAGGAAAAATAAACGGGTTTGCAAATTTCGCAGACACAGGCATAGATGGTGACAGTATAACCAGCGTCTTTTTTACTAAATACTTGCTACACCTGTGGTTGCATAGTAAAATTTGACAGCTTTGTTGACAGTCAAAACTTAGCATTTTTATTTTTCTTTATTTCTTTTACAACAGTGACTGAAGAATAATGTCAAAAGCCATAGGTTGGAGAAAAGGTATTACCAAGACCCTCACCGTTACCTGACCTGATGCAAGAACGAGAAAAAACAATCGGCTCTTCACTCCTTTTGTTGTGGCTCCAAGCTCTCAATTTCACAAACCCAAATAAATCCTGGGAGTGACAGCACGTAGGCTGGGGGCTGCGGGCTCTTCCTGCCGCCGCGATCCCCTGGGAGGAAGCAGGCGGCTCCGCCCCTCGGGGGACTCGGAGGCCCCCCACCCGGCTGAACCCCCACTGCCCGCCGCCGCCGCGCGGGGTGCCGGGCCGCCCGCTGCTCCCGCCGCGGAGAGGACCCCGCAGCCCGCGCCCCGCCGGGAACTCAGGGCTCCCCTGCCCTCTCCGCTCCGGGCTTTGGGGTACTGAGAGGTGGGGCCGCGGGAAGGCCGGCGCCGGGCGCCCAGAGAGTCGCCAGCGCCCATCCCGCCTTCGGGAATTGCCCCCGCTGAGCCCCGGGTCGTAGGTAACCTTGTGCTTCCTGGGCCTCAGGTGAGGCGGGATGCAGGAGCCTCGGTCCCGGGGGCGCCGGACTGGCTGCTCCTTCGCCCCCGAGGCCCAGCTTGTCCGGGCGCGATGTCCTTGCCCTGGGGCCGGGCACCCCGTCTTCCTCTCACCGAGACGGGTGCCCCTCCGCGTGCCGCCCGGCGCCGCGCACGCCTCCGTCAGTGCCCACGGGGCCGCCGGGTCAGAGCGCCCCGGGGGCGTCGGGGAAGGGGGTCGGAGCGCCGCGGCTTTGTCCGGTCGGCGGCCGCGCAACTGCGGCAGCAACCTTCCACACAGACGTTCGCGGGGCTCCTTCCTCTGCTCCCCGCCGGGCGGACGCAGCGCCGGAGACCCTGGACCCGCGGCTGCAGGCGGCGCAGGCCGCGTCGCCCGCGCTCCTCGAGGCCGGGACACCGGCCGGTCAGCGCCGCCCCGCGCCCGCCGCGAGCCTGGGGTCGCCAACGGTCCGCAGCGACGCCCCGGACATGCCGCTGCTGCTCGGCCTGCTCGGCCTGCTCGGCCTGCTCTCCGGGCTGGCGCCGCCGCCCGCCCGCCTGGGTAAGGCCCGGGGACCCCCGCCCGCCGCCCGCTCCGCGCGTCCGCGCGGGTCCCAGCCTGCCACCCGCCCGGCGGGACCGGACTCCAGGACGCGGCCTCTGACCCGCAGCCGGGGTTCCGGGCCCGTCCCCCGCGGGCCGATGGGCTGAGGCTCCGGGGGGCGCCTGGTCTGTTCCCCTCAGACCCCGGGGGCAGCAGGCCGACGCGGCTGTGCAGAGGAGCAGGGCGTCCACGGTCTCTGCTTGTTTGTTCCTGAGCCGTTTTCAATGTGCCACCGAAAATCCAGCGAAAGTTGTGGACCGCAAGGAGGGTGGGCGCACAGGGGTCAGTTTACTTGCAATTTGAGACCCGGCCCTGGACTCAGGGTTAAGAACCCATGCTTGGCTGACACAGTTCTTGTTGCAAAAACACCGATTTTCTTACTTTTCCTTACTGCAGAGACTGAAGGAATATTCCTGCATGTCACGGTTCCACGGAAAGTAAGGTCAAACCAGAGTGTTGATTCAGAAAAGCAGGTAAAGGATCAGGAATATTTGATAATTAAAAATTTTAAGACAGTGTTTGTTCATCTATGTGTTAAGTCTGATGGCACTGATTTGTATTCACGTGCCAAGCACACAGTTTTCACGGTGCTCCTGTCTCAGGGCATTTGGATCCAACCTGCCCACACACTGCTTGCTCCTGTGTCCCCTTTTCCTCTGCGTCTCTTCTGATCGCAGTGTTCAAGAAATATCAAATGCTTCTCAGAAATCATACCGGAAAAAGAAAAAATCAATATGGAATAAGTATAACGATGGTCCAGCCTGCAGTTTATAAACATTTGTTCATGGCCACTGAGCGCAGAGAAACTGGTGGGGAGCAAAATTCAGACCTACAAGTGTGACCTGGAAGCATCAGGCTTAGTAAAAGCAGTGGCCAAAGAAAAGAAGAAAGGGAAATACGTAAGAATGTCACATTTGCCCTATTATGATGAAAAAGATCAGAATAAATATTAACTGGAAACAGAAGTTGAAAAATTGCTTACGTGCAATACAAAAGAAAGTGATTCAATTGAAAGCATTTGACTTGAATATTTTCTTGATTAAAATGCTTCATTGGCATAGTTACAATGCCTTATCTCACAAACTGAGAGTCACAATACAGAATTTAGATTTCCATGCGGTTAATGTGGTGTGGTCCATGTATGTAGTCCATAACCCTGAGAACATTTTTTGAGGTTGAAGGAAAAGTTTTGAAATAAGAGTAAGTTGAAAATTAAGAATCCATTTTAAGTAAACTATCTTTTGTTGAAAAACTCCTTATATAAAAGTTATATATTTTTTTCTTCTGTTTTTTCTGTTTTTACATTGTCATGGACAATCACTTTAAACTTCATATTGCTTACTTCAGATTGCCTGTCACAATGCATATAGCAGCTATGCAGGACATGAGACAGGTTTCCCTGGAGGACGTGTTGTGTCCATACCTGTCTACACATGTTGGATTCCGTATGGAATTCCAGAAGCCATTCTTCCGGTGGTAGGGTGTGCTTACTGTTCTCATATTTCTTAGAGTAGACCTCCCTTTGTCTCTCCTGCTCTCTTCCTTTAATCTGTTATTACCCCATTTCTTTTTTTAAATTAGACTTAAAAGGATTCTTTTTCATGGATTTCCAGTGTGTCATGATAAGCACATATTCTACTAAAGCAATGGCTTGGATTTTGTGATATTACAGTAATTATGCAGAACTTTCTTGGGTTTGCCCAGATATATTTGTGGAAACCATAATGCCATTATTGGAATAACTCTGGGAAGTGACCCCTCAGCTAAGGAGAGCTGACCTCAGTTACAGTGGGTTCATTTCATCCTGTGGCCTTCCTGCCAAAGACTGTGTGGAACAACAGTACTTCATTAGTCATTGCAGTGAGGGGCACATACTCCACAGGGAACCCTGGGGTATGTCAGCAAGGGGGTGTTAGAAAGGCCTAATAAGACTTTGACTTGTGTTAGGGGTTTGGATGTGGTTAGCAAATAGAGGTAATTCAATGATTATGTATCTTCATAAATCTCATCTAGGAGAAAGGAATCCTAATATAGTGCTAAAGTTGTAATTGGTCAAGAAGTAACAGCATCTGATGTTAGCCCAGGAAAGACTTATTTGGTCATTTTCTCTGGCTTGGAAAATATTAATATTTTGTTTGTATTCAGACATGATTGCAAAGTGATCTTGTTTTCCTCTTGATTCATAATTGTCTCAACAGCAGAACGCCAAGGCTCCTTGACAGTGTCAAGCCAGCTCTTCAATATCAGAACTGCTTTCTCTTTTTCATTCCTTTTGTAATTAATTTACATTGGTCATGTTTGACTTTAAGGCTACACCTATATCAAGTATTGACATTATAAATGACAGGATAAGACTACTGAGATATATATGTATATATTAAGTTCAAGTTGTTGTGGTAGAGTTTGGGAAGAACTATCTAAGCAGCATATTTCAGCTGACTGTTGATTTTATGTTTGTACATCTGTCTATGTCCAATTGGAGTTAAACAAGGAGGCCATTAGACTGGGTGGCTTTAGTGCCTTCTGTAGCCTCCATAAGTAAACCAAAGCCTAAGGCAAAATTAGTGCACCAGAACCTGAACAAATGAGAACTACAACTACTCACAAACAACCAAATAACTAAATTTTCCCAAAAGGCATGTGTTTAAGCAATAGCCAATTAAATTATTTGCTTTGCTTCCATGTCTTTTCTATAAAAATATCTGCCTGTACCCCCTCCCATGAAGTGCCTCTAACCACTTTTTATGAGGATTAAAAATATGTGTAAAACTCTCAGAACATTCATTGCAGGTATGTTTTTCCAGAAATGTTTCTGTTACTAAAAGGCTTTCATCTAATGCTATATTTAAATACTGCCTTTTGTAGTTAACCAAGAAAACTTGGACACCTTGATATGCCCAGTTTGTGGGAGAACCTGGGCTAGACCCTTGCTGTCCATATTTGTCATCGAGTGCTCTTTTCAGTCATATAACATTGTTTCTTTTATTACAAAAAAAGAATTAATGGGCCTCAGTTTGTCTTTTTACAGTTCTGGTGATAGAAGTTATAATAACTGTGTAATATGTTAATATTCTTCTTCTTACAACTTAAAATGATTTTATTCCATTATATGTAATTTTGTATATCATGTGGCTGATTTACAAATAAAGCTTAACTATAACATTCCATAAGAGATAAAAAACACAGGGAGATATTTGCCTAACCTGAAGCCAAACACAAATTTTTTCCAATTGCATAAGACCTGACACTATTATGAATTAAGGTATATAAATAAATGCATAAAGAAAGTAATAAGGAGACTGAAATTGGTGTAGTGTCCCAGAGATACTGGCAATTGATGTAGTGGATCTGTGATTTAAAAATTTCAAACATGCCCCACATTACTATTGCCATTTTGTGCATTGTTTTCTGGCTATTTGGTAGATTCATAGCTCCTTGTTTCTCATTCTGCTGTCTTTTTCTGTCAGTATGCTTTGACATTTTATCCTGTTCTTTTGTGTAATTACTACAAGTTTTCCCCGTAATGTTACCATGAGGCCTACGTAAAATATCTTCAAATTATAAAACCCTATTTTAAGCTGATAACTTAAAATAAATAGGCTTCCTAAATTTTACCCGTATATTTCTCCTCCTACTCACATTTTAATTGTTGTTATAATTTATGTATTTTCATATTGTGTAAATAATAACAGATTATTATAGTTATGGTTATTTTTACTATGTTTCTTTTATTAACTTTTAAACTAGAGTTGTAACAGTACCATGTTACAGAATCTAATTTTGACCCTATATTTGCCATTACCGGTGAATTTTATGCTATCTTTTTAATGTTTTTGTGACATTAATAAGCATCCTTTACTTTCTCTCAAATAAATCCCTTTAAATTTCTTTCAAGGTAGGTCAAGTGTCAATGAACTCCCTAGGGTTTTTTGTTGTTGTTTAGTAAAGTCTTTTATTCCTCTTTCATTTCTGGAGGATCGTTTTGCTGTGTGTATAGAATCCTTGGTTGACAAATTCTTTTCCTTTCAGTATTTTGAAGACATCATCTCATTCTCTTCTGGCCTGTAAAGTTTCTGTTAAGAAATCTGCCAATAAGATTTCTGCTCTCTTATGCGGAGCCCCTTTTTGTAACTTCTTTTTCTTGCTTCTTTTAAATTCTTTGTCTTTGAATTTTGACAAGTGAATTATAATGTCTCAGAGTAGCCCTATTCAAGTTCAACCTATTTGGTGTCCTTTGGGACTTACGGATCTGATGTCAAGTTCTGTCCCCGTGTTTGGGAAATTTTCAGTCATTATTGCTTTAAATATACTTTCTGTCCCTTTCTCTTTCTCTTCTCCTGCTAGAATTTCCATAAGGTAAATATTGGGGTTTTTTTCATTGTTTCCCACAAGTCCCATGGACTTTCTTCACTTTTCTTCATAGTTTTATCTTTTGCTCCTCAGACTAGACGTGCATAATAATATAAGGCATACCTCGTTTTATTGTACTTTGCTTTTTGAGCTTCACAAGTATTGCATTTTTTTACAAAATGAACTTTGTGGCAACCTTGCATCAAGCAAGTCAGTTGGCATCATTTTTCCAAAAGCATTTGTTCACTTCCTGTATCTTTGTCACATTTTGGTAATTCTCACAGTATTTCAAAATTTTTTATTATTACTTTATTTGTTATGGTCATCTTTCATGTTACTATTGAAATTGTTTTGGGGTGCCATGAAGTAGTGTCCATATAACAATAAGCTTAATAAATGTGTGTTTTCTGACTGTTTCACAGACTGGCTGTGGTTAGTGTTGAGAAAAAAGCCTATTTTGATACTATACCCATTTTTAAATTGGATTTTTATTTGTACAGAGCTGTCTAAGTTCTTTGCGTTTTGGATATTAACTCCTTATTGGATGTATGATTTGCAATTAGTGGCCTTTTTGTTTTAATGATGGTTTCCTTTGTTGTGAAGAAGCTTTTCGGCTTGATAGAGTTCCATTTATTTTTGCCTTGGTTTCCCTTGCCTTTGGAGTCAGATCCAAAAAAAATGCTGAAAGTGATGTCAGGGAGTTTGCCTAGGAGTTTGACTGATGTCAAGAAAACCTACATTTTCTTCTAGGAGTTTTATGGTTTCAGGTCTTACACGCAAGTCTTTAATCCATTTTGAGTTAATTTGTAGGTATGATGTTAAAGAGTGGTCTAGTCTCATTCTTTTGCATGTGGCTGACTAGTTTCCCTTGCACCATTTCTTGAAGGGACTCTCCTTTTTCCATCATATGTTCTTGGATCCTTTGTCATAAATTAATTGTCCATATATGTGTGGGTTAATTTCTGGGCTCTCAATTCTCTTCCTTTGATTTATGTAACTATTTTTGTGCCAGTACCTTACTGTTTTGATTACTGTCATTTTATAGTTTGAAGTCAAGGATGTGATACCTCCAGCTTTGTTGTTCTTTGTCAATATTGCCTTAGCTATTCAGGATCTTTTGTGGTTCCATACAAATTTTAAAATTATTTGTAGTTCTGTGAACTATGCCATTGGAATTTTGATAGGGATCACATTGAATCTGTATATTGCTTTAGGTAATATGTACATTTTAACAATATCCTATTCTAACCTATGCACATGAAATATCTCCCCATTCTCACCTATGTGCATGAAATATCTCCCCATTTATTTGTGTCTTCTTTAATTTCTTTCATCAGTATCTTACAGTTTTCAATTAACAGATTTTTTTTACCTCCTTGGTTAAATTTATTCACAGGTATTTTATTATTTTTGTTGCAGTTGTAAATAGGATAGTTTTCTTAATTTCTCTTTTTGTTACTTTATTTGTATATAGAAATTTAACATATTTTTGCATATTGAGTTTGTATCCTGAAACTTCACTGATTTGTTACTAGTTTTAACAGTTTTTTTGTAGAGCTGTTAGGGTTTTCTATATGTAATATCACATCATCTGAAAACAGTTGCAGTTTTACTTGTTTGTTTCCAATTTGGATGTTTTCTTTCTTGTGTTGCCTAATTGCTGTGGCTGGGACTTCCAACACTGTATCAAATAAAGCTGCAACAGTAAGCATGTTAGCTGTGCATTTGTCACATATGGCCTTTATTATGTTGAGGTGTGTTCCCTCTATACACACTTTGTCGAAAGTTTTTATCATAATTGGGTGTTGAATTTTACCAAATGCTTTTTCTGCACCTATTAAAATGTTGATACAATTTTTATTCATTTTGTCACTGTTGTATATCAAGTTGACTGACTGGCAGATGTTGAATCATCCTTGCATCATGGAATAAATCCCACTTGATTGTGGTATATGATCCTTTTAGTGTATTGTCTAATTTGGTTTGCTAATATTTTGGGGATTTTTTGCATCTATGTCCATCAGAGCTTTAGCCTGTACTTTTCTTTTTTTTGTGGCGTACTTGTCTGGTTTCGGTATCAAGGTAATGCTGACTTCATAAAATGAGTTTGGAAGTATTCCCTCTTCTTCAGTTCTAGGAAGAGTTTGAGAAGAATAGGTATTAAATCTTTGAATGTTTGGTAGAATTCGCCACTGAAGACATGTGGACTTTTGTTTGTTGGGAGGTTTTTGATTATTGATTCATCTCCTTACTAGTAATTCATCATTTTCTCAACATTTCATATAAATGCACTAAAAAAACTGCTTCTCTGCCTGCATCTTTGAAATACATATTTATAACAACTGCATTTTGCTGCCTACATCTTTGTAGTTGAACAAGGCTAGAGAAAATTATCCTCACTTAATTCATGGCTGTTCTCACCTAATTCATGACCATTATTGATTCATCTCCTTACTAGTATTTCTTCATGACTCAGTCTTGGAAGATTGTGTGTCTCTGGTAATTTATATGTTTCTTCTAGGTTGTCCAAATTTTGGCTTATAACTGTTTATAGTAGTCTCTTACATAGAAAGCTATTCTCTATGTAGTTGTGTATTTGTTGTGTTCCTGGGAGTGAGGAAGTTCAGGATCTTCCCACATCCCTATCTTGAACCCAACCCCGAGTGAATCACTTTTTGGTTGACATGAGTGAAGTATACTGATTTACTTTATATATTTCTGATTTACTGAATCATCTTCATTTATTTTCCTTATTTTAGGTGATTTATATCATTACAATTGATGAAAAAACATACATGCTGCATCTCAGAAAACAGTAAGATATGATTTTCCCTTAATGCTTAGATTTGTCTTTTTAAGTGTTTTGTATACTATTTAAATTTAAGAATGCTGTATAATGTAGACTGTTTAACCAATCCATTTTTCAATTTAATTCCTTAAGTCTTGAATGTTAGATCTATGACAATATTGCATTTTAATTTTCCAGCTTGTTATTTTCAAATTAAGAAATAAGGCACATATTTGTAAATCAACTGAATATAAACATTGAACCCAAGAACTACAAGTTATATATTAAGGATGCTCAGTGTGAAATCAAACACAGTTACTCATCAAGTGGTTATTGGTGGAAAATTCAACTGGCTGCATACATTTTATTAATTATATGTGTATTTATTCTTAACAACTTTATTGGGTACATTTCAGATATCATAAAACTCATGTTTAATTCAATAATTTTTAATAACTTTATGCAGTGTTGTGACCATCAACCATAAATCAGTTTCAGATCATTTCATTCTCCACATAAGATTCTTTATGCCATTTCACATTTATTCCCTGTTCACATCCACCACTTCAGGCAACAATCAATCTACTTTCAGTCTCCCAATCTGCATTTTCTCAACATTTCATATAAATGCACTAAAAAAACTGCTTCTCTGCCTGCATCTTTGAAATACATATTTATAACAACTGCATTTTGCTGCCTACATCTTTGTAGTTGAAAAGGCTAGAGAAAATTATCCTCACTTAATTCATGGCTGTTCTCACCTAATTCATGACCATTAAACTCATGTTGGTCTTTAATGTCTCTACAACTCTATTAAAAGTGTTTGTTGGTAAGGCTATCAATGACCTTCATGTCTCAGAATGCCAGTTATTTAGTCTTCATTTTTCTTGACCAGTTGGCAACACTTTATATAACTAATCTGTGCCTCCTCCAAAAATACTCTCTTCATTTGGCTTCCAGAATACCACAGATTTCCGGTTTAACTCAACGTAGTGCTTACTCCTTCTCAGGCTCTTTATTTTTTTATTTGTTTTTCAGATTCTTCCTCATCTACGCAGTCTTACAGTACTCCATGGTACTATTCTTATCTTGTGTTTTTCTAGCTACATTGAATCACCTGGTTACTTCATCCTGTCCTGTGGCTTTGAAGAACATTTATATATTCATTACTCTGAAACACATATCACTCCTTTATTCCTATACAATGAAAATTATATTCACTTATCTGACTACTTATTTGATAGCTGAGTATTTGCTAGAGTTCTCACACTTAGCATGTCCAAAATATAATTCCTCTTACAAAATGTATCCTTCCCCAAATCATCTCAGTAAGCGGCAACTCTGTTCTTCCACTTCACTTCCTCAGAACAAAAGCTTTGAAATCATCCTTGACATCTTTCTTTATTTTGTTTTCCCCCACATCTAGTGGATTATTAAATCCCACATGTTCTACCTTCAAAATACACCCAAAATTGGACTTCCACCCCTGCTGTTGTCCTAATTTAAGCTACCATCACATCCTGCCTGGATTGCTGTGATAGCCTAACTGCTGTCCCTACTTCTGCTTATTTGCAGTATTCAGTCCAAGTCTATTAATTAAGTTGGTTTGTCATTTATCTGCTGAGAATCTTCTGATACCTTCTTGTCTCTGCCACACCATCTCTTACTTCTGTCTCTTGTCATCAGTCCACACTCCATTGTGGGCACATTGCCCCCTGGCTATTCTTTGAATACACAAAGCATATTTCTGCCCCAGGGTCTTTGCACTTACCCCTAATTCCATCTGGAACAACATTTCTGTGTCATTCTACACGGATTGTTTTCAGGTCTTTAATTCAAGCAGACCTTTCAGTGCCATCTATCTGCATTTTGCAAACAATCTCCCTCACCTAGTTCTTATTTATCATCACCTAACATGCTAGCAGTATGTATCCCTCACTGTCATGAAGACCGGTGTTTTGTCTTTTGTTCACTGTTGTATCCCAGTACCTAGAAGAAGATCTGTCAGTAGGCACTAAGTATTTGTTGAATGAAGAAATATGCAGGCACACACACAAATACCTGATACAGAGGATTCAGAGTCTATTAACAGGATATTACTTAACAGGATATTAATAGGATATCCTATTTAACAGGATATCATTGTTAAAAGCCTGAACTTTCTGATACAACAGTTTTATGAATTTAAAATTAAAATTACTCTAAGGCATATTATTATATTAATCCTATATATTTCACATTTATGTTTATTATTTTAATGTTTATATTCATATTAGATTAATGACAACCATTTTTTATTTTTGTTTTCCTTAGCTCATTTTTATCCCAGAACTTCGTGGTTTATTCATATAATGAAACTGGATCTTTGCATTCTGAATCTTCATATTTTAAGGTAAGACTCAGATATCAGTATTTTTTATCATCTGTTTCCTTATCATAGTGGACACAGCATTACCACTGGGATATGTTTGTTCCATGTTGACAATTTAAAACAAATATTTTATTCCATATAACTATGACCTGTCATGTGGTTGATTTTTGTACAAAAGGAATAGCATGTGATAGAGATGAAGCCCAGGCTGAGAGCATCCTGATGGCACCTAGGTAAAGGGGGTTGTTGAAAGCTCTTCTTGAAAATATGCATTAATACATCAGTTTTCTATTGTGTTATTTTCAAACCTTTCAATATTTTGATCCATTCATAATGTTTGCCCATATATTTTTTATTCACAAAGAATTTATTTATTTGCCTTTCTGTATTGTTTTTTCAGATGCATTGCCATTACCAAGGATATGTTTCCAATTTTCCATACTCAGCTGCAACGCTCAGTATCTGCTCTGGACTCAGGTAATAGCCTCTTAGAGGATTTGTGCAGACGGAGAACTTAGGATAAACTTTGAAATGAAACTTAGCTGAAAGACACAAATCTGGGGAAGTTTACGGGGAATCCTAATCTCCTTTTCCTTTATAATGGCCTTACATTTTTACATTAGTATTAGTAGTTGGCCCTTAGCACCCGTTCAAGTGAAGTCTCTCCAGGGAATCGTGACTGGGAACATTTTCAAGATACTTTGCCAAAGGGGGTTAGTTTTAGTGAAGGAAACTTTAGAACTAATTATTAGTCTTGCATTATCTACCAATTATCTCAAGTAGTTATGGAAAATGACATTAATTAGTTATTTAATTAGGCACATATTATGCTTTCAGCTTAGATGCACTCAGCATCAGACATAAAACTAATTGAGAAAATCCTTTGGAGGAAAAGAGCAGGGATAGGTGATTTTCATCACTGATGGTAGCAGGGAGAAGATACTAAATTTATCAGGTAGGCAGGTCTAGAGCAGAGAAGAAAGACTCTTTCTAATTTTGGCTGCCTAATTTCCAGAATTCACTCAAGTCAACTCAGAAAACTGGTATTCTCTGAATGTGGTTTTTCATAGATATCAGCCTCTTTGGATACCCACCCTATATGGCTGCTTTCCCTTATTCCAACCTTTGTAAGAACAGAGACTTTATTCTTAAAATTCTCAACCAATATCTTGGTTCCCAGCAAATATTTGGCCTTAATTAATATATCTTCAATGAAGGTGACAAGTATACAGAAAATATAAATACTTTCAATACATCTAGTTCTTTAATATGTGAGCAGAACTACGGTGGATGTGGTAGACTGAAAAAATGGGAATAGAAAGTGGGTTTAAAATATATTCCTTACTGTGATTCCTTATTTCTCACATTTGGGATTATAGATTTGATGGGGTCATTTACAGGGTTTTTATGTCATTGCTTTCTAAATAATCAGGGGATTCCTTCAGTTTGAAAACATCACCTATGGAATTGAGCCATTGGAATCTTCAGCAAGATTTGAGCACATAATTTATCAAGTGAAAAATGGAAATCCAGATATACCAATGTTAGCAGAAAATTATAGCTATATTTGGCAGAAAGACCAGCCCTACAAAATTCATTTAAGTTCACAGGTAAGTGTGATGGTTCTCATGTAATGAAATTATTTCTGTAGAATTTTGTTGTGAAAAGGAACTACTTGGCCATTGAATAAGAATATTAAATTTATTATCTTCTTACCTTAAATAAAACATCCATATTCCATCTAAAACTTATGGAAAATTGCACAAAATGTATCTAAAGCTTATTGTTTTTATTGTGTATTATGTTACATTTCTTCTACTTTTATTCAAACAAAAATGCTTGTTATTGACTAAAATGTAGAAACATAGGAAGAAGAGAGTCACTATTAGTTACCACTACCTTCATAAAATTACTTTTAATATTTTGGCATATAGCTTTACATACTACCAGAAGAAGTCTTTCTAAAATAAATAATCATTTGTTATTAAACTCTCTTAACTTACCTATAGGCTGGATTGGTTGACAGATGTTTTCTTCCATCAGTTTGAATATTTCAATTCATTGTCTTCTGGCTTCCTTGGTCTTTGATGGAAAATCAACTATTATTAATCTTACTGAGGATTCCTTATACAGATGGGTTCTTTGTTGCTTCTGCCAAAATTCTCTCTTTGTCTTGGCCTTATGGCAGTTTTTTTAATGTGTCTTTAAATGGATCTCTGAATTTATCCTCCTTGTAGTTTACTGAGATTCTTAGAAATGTAAATTCGTATTTTTCATCAAATGTGGAAAATTTTTGGCATTAGTTCTGTGAATATTCTCTTGTCATTTATTTATCTCCTCGCTTTCTGGTAGTCCCCATTACATGTATGTTAACGTATTAGTTTCTGGTCTTTTTTGTTCCACTCTTTTTTCTTTCTCTTTCTCAGACTGTTTAATCTCATTTTATATATCACCAAGCTCCCTGATTCTTTCTTTTGTCTGCTCAATACTGCTGTTGAAGCTCTCTATTGGATATTTCATTTCAAATATTTTCAATACCAGAATTTCTATTTATTTCTTAATAATTCCTATGCCTTTCTTGATATTCTCTATTTAGTGGGACATCATTATAATACTTCCCTTGCTTTAGTTCTACATGGTTCCTTTTAGTTCTTTGAAATCATTTAAAATTAATTTAAAGTATTTTTCTAGTAAGTCTAACATCTACTCCTCCTCAAAGACAGTTTTCATTGATGGCCTTTTTCCTGTATACCTCTCTTGGTCCTTTTCATGTCTCGTAACTTTTTGAAAAATGAAATGAGTCATTCCAAATAATATAATGTGGTGACTCTGAAAATAAGATTCTTCTCCATGCCCAAATATTATTGCTTCTTGTTGTAGTTGTTTGTTCTGTGAATTTTTTGAATGGTTCTCTAAAATCTGTTGTCTTTTGTTGTGTGTAGCCGCTGAAGCCTCTATTCTTTTATCTTATTGGACAGTTAATGATCAGGCAGTGTTCTTTAAATGCTCAGACCCAGTAATTTCTCAGTCATTGCCAAGAGTGTCTGTGTGCATGTTGCCACATACCCTTTTCATTCAGCCAGGCGGATAACAACTCTGCTTCTCATGTCACATTCTGCTTGCAAGGGCTTGAAATGAAGATTGGCCAGAGGTTTTTTTTTTTAAGGTCTTTCCTAAGCATGTACACAAGCTTGGGTATGCACTTAGCCTGATCATGTGTGTTACAGCTTTTCAAAGCTGTGTGGATCTGATTTTCTGGCTTTGCCTTTTAAGTGAGTGTTTTTGTTCTGTTTATTTTTGACTGTCCCACTGTTACTCACTGCCTTGGACAACTCTGAAGGTTAAAAAAAAAAAAGTGCCAGTAATTGTTTCCAACAAATGCCTTTGGGAAAAAAGTTTTTCATGCTGGGTGAGATGTGATTCAGGTCAAGTACAGACTAGCTGGAAGTGGGTCTTCTAGGAACCACAGAAAGCTCAGATCACATTTCTCTGGAAAGGAGATTTCGAAGATGCTACAGCCACATTCTGCTATTCTTGCAGTTGCCATCTGCTGGTATTCACTGCAAATGTCCGCTATTAATTTTCAAGTACTGGGAGAAGAGACAAAGACAAATGTAAATCTCACAATCACTATTTTTACTGAGCTAAGTAATTTTTCTTGAACAAACAGTTCCTAGAATTCTGTAAGCCTTTGGTTAATTTTTAGGGCTCTGAAAAAGTTGATTCTAACCATTTTTGCCAATTCTCTTGTTGGTTTCTTGGAGGAGAGAGTTTTTGGAGATTCTCACCCTTATTTTCACCTTTGTCACTGCATTTCATGATATGAATATTTAATATATATACACTATGTGTACTATATACACATATATAGTACATATTTATAATCTCTTAATATAACATGTTTTTTAATTTTCCTTGATCCATGGGAAATTTAGAAATGTGCATATTTGGGGATTTTCTAGATATATTTTTGGTACTAATTTGTAATTGAATTTCATGTTTTTACTTTTACACTGACTTTATCAATATAAAATACTGCCATTTTTAATTGACTTTATCACATTCAGATAATGCATCTGTACATATGTTTCTCTACGTATCAAGCAGTTGTTTTATGGAGTGTTGTACAAATGTCTGTTAGGTCAATTTGTTTATATTCTTCAAAACTTATGTTTTCCACATCTTTGTTTCTCCTAGGAAATTTGTAGTTTATGTCTGTTGTCATTACATCTTCCTGTGGGGCATTTTTGAGCTTTTTATGCATTTTTCATTTTTCAGTGATATGTCATTATTGAATCTTATATTAAAATTATCCAGGATAAGTTTGGCACACTTTCACTATTTACTTTCAGACACACGTTGGTTTTGTCTAGTCGTTAGTGGAAACATTATAATAATAGATTTCTGTCTGAGAGGCAAGCAGAGAGAACCCCTTTCTCTTTTCCTGACCATTTCCAATTGCAAGGTTAACAATTTCTTACAAAGAACAGAATGCAGAGGTACTGGCGATAAAATAAAGTGTGCTGAGACACATGTTGGTAGGGACCACCAACTCTTTCTGTAGTGGTTGTGGTAGAAGTATTTGATGTTGAACTACATGTGACATGACCTTGCTTGATTAATATTTTCCCTTAGTGCCTTTAACCTATTAATTAAAGTTGCTTTAAATCTTTTTCCTGATAGTTTCAGCACCTTGTCATTTATCAGTCTGACTCTTATGAGCTATAGCTTTCATATCACATTTCTTCCTGCCTGTCTGTATTCCTTCTCAATTTTTTTTTGGATGAAAGCTAAACATGTTACAAAAGGCAGTAGCCGCTGAATTAAATTAATTATTATTATTATTTTTTGGCTTGGAGATGAGCACACCTTTCTTTCTGCTGTGTCTTTAGTTTGAAAGTGTGTGTTAATGTAGTCAGATGTAGGTCTGTTTCTGTGCATTGTGGCCATGGCTACCCTTAGTGTACCAGCCAGAGGGGGATCGTCAGTTCCCTTTAGTGATATCTTATGTTTATTGGGAATGATAATTTGCAAGAGGGATGCCTGTTCTCTGCTTGGCTTTGGATTTCTCCACTTGGCATTGTTTTGTATCTTTATTGATAAAGTCTGTCTCTTTCCCATTCCCCTGCTCTCTTTACTGTAATTTTTTCTTGACACATTGTAGCACAGGATGAGGGCTTGGCATGGATCAGAGAACCGAGGAATTCTGGGAAGTTTAGGATGAGACTCAGTGTTAGGAAGGCACTTGCCTGGAGTTGGGGATATAGTCTCCACAAATGTCGCTATGTCCATCCTCCAGAAGTCACACTGGGCCCAGCAAGTTTCTCTTCCTCTCCCTCCATAACTAGAGCTTCCTTACCCAGTGCCCCAGGCTGCAGCCCTCAGTAAATCAAGGCTTTTCTATCATAAAGGAGGCAGAGATGAGTTTGGGGAGAGTTTCTGCAGGGGCCATTGTTCTTCCCTGCCAGCCAGCACCACGAGGGACTCTTGCCCAGTATATTCCACGGTCTTCATTGTGCGTAGCTTGTGGGGTTCCTGGAGGAAGCTATGAAACTGTAAGCATGAACATTCGGTTCTCTGCCACCCCATCCAGCCAATACCCAGAGAGTGTTGGGTAGAGAGTTTTTTCAAGAAGCTGGCCAGTTGGAAGATGGAAGTATTAGTGTCCTGAAGGCCCATCTTCATTCAGGGTTGGTTTCAAGCTCCCTTTATGCTGGGGAAGGGGCAGCAGGAGGGGAGCAGAAGATGACGGACAACTGCGGACATTGGAGCGCCAGTGAGGGCTGAGGGAGGTCGTGAAATTCCCCGCGTCGGCTGACTCCCGCCAGCACAGGTGGTCATGGTGTCTCTACAAATCCTTGATGAGACAATCATTATTTTGTACATATTTTCTTATCTTTCTGGGGGACACAAGCCTCGGGCAAGGGGTATTTGCTGATCTCTAGCTGTAGGCAGAGCTATTAACAAGCCTACCTGCAGGCCTGCAGGTTTTTTGCGAATCTAAAAGGAGTGTCAGTTAAGGGTCTTGTGGCAATTTTCAGTTCCACTGCTTGGTTTGCCTTTGTGCTGTTTCTATCTGTAAACTCCAGGAACAAAACAGACCCACAGGGACAGTTTCCACATCTATGCAGTCACCCTTTCCCTTTCCTGGCAGCCTGCGAGGAGCCAGACCCCAGCTCATAACTCCCTCTGGAGTGGTTACAAAACCAACTACTTTTATGGCTCCCAGAGATTTCGCCCTTTGATGCCAGCCCGAACTTGGCCTTTAGAAATTCAGCAAAACAGTTTTAAATGTATTACCCATTTAATCAACCTTGAACAAAGTCAGACATTGTAATGAAAATGTTAAGATGATACTGAGAGATGTTATTGTTCCAAAATATCAGAAATATTAGAGGGACATACAGGCAAGAAACTGAAGTACGTAAGTATTTATCAAGAACTAGGGTTTTGCTTACACTATTTTTTATTACTGAAAAACTTTGAAAAATTTTTGACTTTGTATACTCAGATAATGTATGTATACAGTTAGAAGAAACCTACTCTTGAAAATAACTTTTGAGTAGAAATATTTCTAGGTCTACCAAAGTAATAAAATTGAACTAAATCTCAATTTCAATAATTATATAATTTATATTTCTTGTGAACCCCCTTCCCACTCCACATTATTTCAGTCTGAACAATACATTATTTGGTCACCATTGTTATAAAGAACTAGTAAGTGTTGAAAAATTGCAGAGAATGTGATAAAAAAGTGCTTGAAACCAAACTCAAAATCTTATGAGGGACAGTGAGAGTTAAGAGCACTTCCTTTCCTACAAAATTCCCTGTGTGCATGTAGTCAGACAGACAGATAATAACAATATTAGATGCGTGGGGTGCAGGCATACTGCACTTCCCTATGGAAATATAAACGAACTTATTTAAACCAAGGCTCTACCAACTGAGTCCAGTTTATTTGCTTGTTTATTTTAACCCACGCTATTTTATGATACACCCAACCTTTGTACCCCTCTTACTCTTACATTTAGGGATCAATGTATTAGGATCAAGTACGAAACTTTTGTTTCTTTACAATTTTTCTATGTGAAATGGCATTTCAGTGTGTGAGAAAATTAGTTCACAAAAAAATTGCCATTATAAGTGCTACACAATGATGTAGTAAATTGATTTATAGCTCACTGACTTGGCACAATCCAGGATTATTCATCCCATCAAATGGCACACATGGCTGATGCCCCAGAGCTAAGGAATTATTTCTGATATTTTACTCTCTGTTCTTTCCTGTATGCACATAAAGTTAATACAAGTCACACTGTTTATCTGAATTTCTGGGTAGACTATGAGTTCTCAAACATTTCCTGTTATTTTCTGCTGAATGAAAGGAAGACAACAGTCCAGTTCTCTAGTGTGAACTGGTATACATTGGTCATGAGATGAAGACAACAGAATGTGCATGTTTATATTTACTTTCCTATTCAGTATTAATAGGGAGTACTGATTCCTACATTACTCTAGCAGGCTCACTGCATCCCTTTAAACTTGGAATATGTTTCCAAGTGCAATTCTCTGATTGGAAATTAATTTTTATACTTAAGTCCTCATGATGGTACTATATGCAACCTTTTTTACCTTCTTTACGTGTCACTCTTTGCACTTAAGAAATTCAACACATGATTAACATTTGATAAATCCCATTTCTTTTTTTTTCAGGAAAAAATTATTTCAAAACTATTACCTCAATATCTAAAAATGCACATCATAGTGGAAAAAGCTTTGGTAAGTGAAATTTCCTGCTCCTATCTGCCCTTCCAGGCTCCTTTCCCCCTTCTTTTTTTCTGTCTCTTTCTTTAAACTTATTGAAAATTTTTCCTTAATTTCAAATATTTCATGGACTTTTAAATTTTCAAATAAAGATATATTATTTTAGGTGTTACTCAGCCATGACTAGCCTAGATTGCCGTACACTGTCTCCCTCGCTCCCCGTCCTCAGCCTTGACCGCACTGCCTAGCAGCCTTGTGCTGCCCTTAACCTGCTCTAGCCTCTCAGGCTACATTGTTTTCTTTGAGCATACCTGACAGTGATCAGCTTACTAATTCATTTAATATAATTTTCCAACTTTATGGCAGAATAATGGACAAATATAATGGTATATATTTAAAGTACACAATGTGATGATTTATCTATGTATACACTGTCCATTAATAGCCAGGATCAAGATAATTAATACATCCATCACTTCACATAGTTCACTCTCTCTTCCCTGTGTGTGTGTGTGTGTGTGTGTGTGTGCACATGTGTGTGCATGTTGAGAACACTTAAGATCTACTCACAGCAACCTTTAAGTATACAATGCTATTACTAACTCTAGTCACCATGCAGTCCATGGGAGCTTCAGAACTTGTAGTTCAGAACTTCTTATAACAGAACTTCTTATAACTTTGACCTACCCTTCTCATTTCTCCTTCCTCCAGTCACTGGCATTCTGTTTCTATGATACCAGCTTTTTTGTTTTTTATATTCTATGTGCAAGTGATACCATGCGCTTTTGCCTTTCTCTGTCTGGCCTACTGCACGGAGCCTTATGCCCTCCAGGTGCATCATGTTGTTGCAAATGGGAGGGTTTCCTCCTTTTTTATGACTGAATAATATTCCCTTGTATCTGTATGTATACCTTTCCTTGTCTGTTCATCCACTAATGGACACTTAGATTATTTCCATCCATAGGCAAGTGTGAAAAAGGCTGCAGTGAACTTGAGAGTGCAGATCGCCCTCCTGACAGTGGTAAAAATTCACATGGTATTTTCTTTGTAGTACTTACCAAGGGTTTATCAACTGTACTCATCTTTTCATAGAAACTGTTTGGATTTCTTGATTTTTTAATGTTCATTTCTCAGTTTATTGCTTTCCTCTTTTCTTTGTTATTTCCTCCCTGCTGCTCTGATTTAGATCGGATCACTGATTTCATCCATTACTTACTTTCTAATGTGTTCCTGGTTAAAATTTTATCTTTAGTCAAAGAGCAGATATACAATACAGGGTTTTTTTGTTGTTTCTAGTAAAACAAATTTTGATATGCCTGATTTCCATCAAGATTTAGTTTTTTTTTAAGTCATTTTCTTATTCATTTGTACGTGTGGATGTATGTGTTTGACCCTTGAGTAATTTAGAGTTGTATTGGTTAGATTCAAGTTATTTGGGGGTTTCTAGGTTATATTTTTGTTGTTCATATTTAGTTTTATTCCATATTAGTAAAAGAGCATGATCTGAATGATGTAAAATCTTTGATATGTATTGTGACTCCCTTTTTAGCCCAGTATATGGTCAATTTTGTAAATGTTCTGTTTGCATTTGGAAAGGGTTTATATATCCTGCATTGTTGGTTGTACTGCTGTACATACTAATGAAGCAAATATTTTAACTCTGCTATTCAGGCCCTCTGTGTTCACTGAGTCCTTTTGTCCTATCAGTTCCTGAAATAGTTAATATCTTGAACTGTTATTGTGGGTTTCTTAAATTCTTTTAATTGTGTCAATTTTGTTTTCCACATTTTATCATCTGTATTACTTCCTACTAATTAAGCATTGCTGTGTGTTCTTTATATACCAAGAATTTTGGCCTCGTGAAATAAAACCTTCGAAGCTAATGATATCTTCCAAAGTGTCATGACGAACTTCGTATAGGAAATTATATATTCTACTCTTTGATGATCTTCAGTTTCATAAATAGGATTTTTCTTATTTGTGTGTTGTATAGGAGTATATATATAAGCTGCCTAATTCAGTGCCTTTTGTATTACCAGGAAGACATCATTTTGTCTGGAATATATCTAATTTTTAATTCATCCAATAGAAGTATGTAATTTTACATTACTTCTCTTATTAACACTCATGAGTAGTCCATCCATTTCAATTCTATTGCAACTGTGAGTGAACAAGCTATACAGATTTCTAAGATTTGATAGGAGTCCTTATTTTCAATTTGTAGAATTGACAACTTTTGCAGAGGTTTTAAGCATTTTCAAAATATGAATGCAAAGAACAAATGTACTAATTAAGCTCCCAAATAACATGAGTCCGTATCTTCTCCAAAATTTACCAGTTTCAGAGACCAACTTTTCCTTTCTCCTTCCATTTACATTATTTTGTTTTATTTTATTTATTTATTTTTTTTTGAGAGGGCATCTCTCATATTTATTGATCAAATGGTTGTTAACAACAGTAAAATTCAGTATAGGGGGGTCAACACTCAATGTACAATCATTAATCCATCTCAAGCCTAATTCTTGTCAGTCTCCAATCTTCTGAAGCATATTTTGTTTTATTTTTTATCAAACCTTTTCAAATCATTTATTCCACATAATTTTTACTTTACATCATTGGGATTTCTTCCTTTTTGCCTATCGGTATATATTTTTTAATGTTTTCTTCATTTGCTCTTCTTAATTTCCTAAGAATGCCCAGATACTGTGTCAGCTAGAAAATTTCTAGCTGAAGAAAGCCTTTACCATAGAGCAGAATGTGGAAAATCATTTTCATACCACTTGATTTAGATTGTTTTTGCACAAGAGTGTTTAAAATATTAAAAAGTGAGAATCTATTTTGAATGCTCACTTATGATTTTTTCTTTTCATTGTTTTCTTTTATTGTAAGTGTAATCGTCTTCATAGTAGCATACTTCAAATTGTTTGACAGATCCTATGGTTTGGTTTTCCTGCCTGTTATCATCAAGATATATCCACTATACACAACAATTTCTGTCATTCACATTTTAAAAGAATCATAAAAAATTTGTTTTCCAGTATAATTATATGGGATCAGAAATGATGGCTGTAACACAGAAAATTATCCAGATTATTGGCCTTGTCAACACTGTAAGTTTTAACACTTTTACATTGATAATTTTATGAAAATTCATTAAAAATAATTTCCATTTTATCATGACTAATTAATGACTTAAAGGCCCTTAATTAGTTTCATATCCAAAATAGTCAACTGAACTTTTTCTTCATTCATTATGCACTGTTTTGATGTAATAATTTGTTACTTGAATAAATATACCACAAATCTTATCTTTAGATGTTTTCTCAGTTCAAACTGACTGTGATATTGTCTTCTTTGGAACTGTGGAGAGATAAAAACCAAATTCCTACCAGTGGGGATGCTGATGATTTATTACAAAGATTTGTGACATGGAACCAGGGCTCTCTTACCCTATGGCCCCACGACACAGCATTCTTGCTTATGTAAGAACTATACATAAATAATTCTATTAATTTGATAATTTAATGCATCTATCATGGATGTCAGCTTTCTGTAGGCCCTTTGGAGATGTTAAATTAAACTTAGCCTTTGTCATAGTTGTGATAGTGTAGTTGGAAATATGATAAAAATAACAACATGAATCATTTCACTCAGTATATTTCGGAGCATAATTTATGTGAAAAGATCTATGTTTCATGAACTTTCATTATATGAATGATACTACAGAACAAATATAATGCATAGCTTATTAATGATGTAAAAATTGACACTCTTCTGTTAGTATTGCCTATATATATTAATACATTTCATGTCTACTGTTCGACATGAAGAGGGGTTTGGATTTTTTGGTTATATTTAATTTTAACAAGTGCTTACCTTTAGGACAGGCAGGATGTCTTTTTCCAATAATTAAAAATCCCTTTTGTTTTAACTTTTAGTGTAACAGTGAATGCAGAGTAAGGGAAATTGAGGAGAATTAGAGATAATAAAATTATATCAAGTCCAGGAGATAGATGAGGGAAGAAAATCGGTACTATAGCAAGTAATAGTTTTTGGTGACTTGAGCACTTTATATATTAGATATTATCCAGGTCAAAAATATATTTGAAAGATCATTTATGGAAGGGAGATATAATTTAATAAGAAAGCCAGTGAGTTGTTCTGAATAATCATGCTAATAAAAAAGGCAATATGTAATCACTGCTGTAATGCTGTAGTTACAGGAAACATCCTAAATATGTGGGAGCAACATTTCCTGGCACAATATGCAATAAAAGCTATGATGCAGGTATTGCTGTGGTATGTAACTTTAATCCTTCTTTACTATTTCCCTAAACTTTATAGTATATTTTATATTCTCATATGTAGTTAAGTGATGTATAATAACTTGATTTTTTTTTCTCATATATGTATTTATTATTTTGGGGGAACAGATCATTTTAATCTCAAAAACTTTATTTAAATATAAATTTAAAACATAAGGAAAATAACATCAACAAACATCAGTGTACTCATTCATACGTGCATCACATTTTCTAAGGACAAAAAATAGAACAAAATTAAAGCCTCCTGTAGGTCACGTTCAAATTTAAGATGTAGCAAAAATCATAAATTTGTGCTTGCCATTTTGTGCATTCTTTTTTTTTCAACTTTAAGATGTTTAATTGGATAGAAAATAAGCTATAACTTAAAATTTGAGAAATAGAGTGGTCTATATTTTCATATGCATACTTTAAAAGGAGAATATTTTGTAAATTACCTTCAGCTCATGCAACATGTTCAAAACAGTGGCACCTGTATTTCCTCTTCTAAATATTAATATATTTTAAGTTATTTTCTTTATTTTTGCTCTAAGATAATGAAAATTTTATAAAATATTACCTCAGAAAGTTGATAATTGAGAAGGGATTTGGAAACTATTCTCCCTGAATATTTTCTTTTTTTTTTTGAGAGGGCATCTCTCATATTTATTGATCAAATGGTTGTTAACAACAATAAAATTCTGTATAGGGGACTCAATGCACAATCATTAATCAACCCCAAGCCTAATTTTCAACAGTCTCCAATCTTCTGAAGCATAACGAACAAGTTCTTACATGGTGAACAAATTCTTACATAGTGAATAAGTTCTTACATGGTGAACAGTGCAAGGGCAGTCATCACAGAAACTTTTGATTTTGACCATGCATCATGAATTATAAACCATCAGGTCAATTATGATTATTCGTTTGATTTTTATACTTGATTTATATATGAATCCCACATTTCTCCCTTATTATTATTATTATTTTTTTAATAAAATGCTGAAGTGGTAGGTAGATGCAAGATAAAGGTAGAAAACATAGTTTAGTGCTGTAAGAGGGCAAATGTAGATGATCAGATGGACTAAGTATTAATCCAAGCTAGACAAGGGCAACAAAACATCCACAGATGCAGAAGATTTCTCTCAAAACAGGGGGGGTGAGGTTCTAAGCCTCACCTCTGTTGATCCGCAATTTCTCACCTGATGACCCCCCTGCGACTGTGCCTGTCTTAGGTTGTTCCTCCCTTGAGGAATCTTACCCATCTCTGGCTAACCGGTCATCTTCCGGGGCCATACAGGGAAATGTAAAGTTGGCAAGTGAGAGAGAAGCAATATTGTTGGAAAAGGTTAGTTTTTTACTTCTTTGCCGATTTATGCCCTGTGGCTTCTATGCCCAGCATTTGTCTTGAGGTATCTTTACCACTTGGAAGAATTATGATACTCAGTAATTTCGATATGAGGCACGAAACTGTGCATTCTTAATAGTGTTGTTACAATATATGTATCCATTAACCACGTATTGTTGTTCTGCATTGTTCTTATTTTATATACCATTTCAGAACTATTTTTAAAGATGTATACATGTGGAAACATTACTGCAATCACTTTTTACTTAAAGATTTTTATTTTGTCAAGTAACACACATATACTTATAAACACAAATGGTTTTTACAAGACTAATAATGAAAAAAAACTTAAGTCAGTTCTTTGTAAATCCCCCCTGAATTCTGTTTCCCATTTTTTAAACTTTTCCTTCGGGCATGTCCTTTTTTGTTTGTTTGTTTTAAATAAAAGTTGTGTTGAAGTACATTGTGAAAGATAATTAAGGGAAAGCTCATTAATATGGCATTGGGAGGCCTGCAGGGAGAGCTCGCCCACTCGCCAGGCCTCCAAATCTCAGGCCCCACTAGAAGGTAGGGGCTGGGGGGAAGCCGTCATACTGTTTTAGCTACTTTCCTCTACCCAGCAGGAGGAAGCACAGTTTGTACCTTCTGCCTCCCCACAAAGGCCCAGCCAACAGGAAGCCATGATCTGTGGGACTCCCAGTTTACTCCAATGGACTTGTTGCTTAGAAACAGCCCTCCCAACTCGGCCCCTTCCTCTATAAGAGTTTCTCTCTTTTGTTCTGTGAACTTGCCTATGGTTTTGCTTGTTCCAGATTGCAATCTTTGCTACTCTCCCCCCTGATAAACCCATTTTTGCCAGTAAACAAATTGATTATTTTATTTTTAAGGTTAACAGCATCATGTATAGAGAACATTGTACAAGTCATACCTGAAAAGCACAATCTTAATTTTGGCTAAGTCAAATACATGGGTATATAATACATCACAGAGAAAAAAAATGGAATATTGGCAGCACTTCAGAACACCCCTATAACTCATGCCTCCTCCCACTTATTAACCATACCGAAGAAAACCTCTGTCCTGACACCTGTCTCCATTGGTTAGTGTGAAATTTTTTTGAGCCTTATGTAAATGAAATAATACAGTGTGTATTCCATGTCTGCCATTTTTTGCTCAGAATTAATTCTGTGAAAGTTATCCATGTTTACATGTGTAGGGGTAATTTGTTCATTCTTTTACTCTATATTTCTGAATAACGTGTCCATGGAGTTTTTTACATAATTCAAATCTAGACATTATCTATTGTTTTCCTATTATCAAAGTGAGAATTTAACATCCTAACAGCTCATCATATCTACATTCTGCCTCTTCCATTCTTCCTCTATAGTTATATAGCTTATTAGAATTGCGTTTTATTTTCTGAGAAGCCAAATAATGACTTGAGATTAAATTGCTTTTATTACATAACTTTTGGTTGGTCCCAAATAAATAATTGCATCATACTGTTTTTACCCAAAATCTTGAATAAAATTAAAAATTGCCTCTAATTTTCTACATTTCAGACATTCCTCTCTTTAACCCAAGACATTTCTTTTTTTTTTCACCAATCTTTGTTAGACTTTTGGCATAGCTGGTGTTCAAGAATCTCTCTCTTGTCTCCTTTGTAATATGTACATTCTTCTTTCATGACTTGCTATATTGGTAGAATACATACTCCTATAATTTACTGAAAAAGTAAATAGGTATTAAATTGTTGGGGAGTTGCATTATTGAAAATGTATTTAATTATTTTAAAAGATTGTTCAGTTAATTTTAGTTTTAAAACAATTGTACCTCAGAATTTTAAAGGTCTTCTCCTTTGTCTCTTAGCTTCTATTTAGAAATCCAGTGTCATTCTTAGTCTCATTCATTGTGTATGTGGCCTGCTTGTTTTCTCTGTGGAAACATTGACTTGGTGTCTTTTATGATCCAATATGCTGGTAATGTTGAAGCCCTTTCAATCTGGATGCTAATTTACTTTTGACTTGAGAAACTTTACTATATTATATATTTGATAATTTTTCCTTTTCTCTTTCATTTTGGACCTTTGTGAGTTATGTATTAGAGCATTTGACTTGTCATGTCATTTGTTTTCTCAAATTTTTTTCTTTATACATCGTGTAATATTTCTTAATATTCATATTTTGGATCAGTCACTCACCACATCCTCTCAGACCTATTTCCTGCTTATCCCTGCCCTGCTCTGTCTCACAGGGAACTATACATTCCCCAGCTGCATTGCTATTTGGCTATTAAGTATGTTCAGCAATGTGGATGATTAGAGGGCAGAAATGTCATGGTATCTCTACGTACTGGCCCTATACACATGGTGGTGTGGGAGTGTATTTATTATGCTCATTACACTCGCCCTTGACTGTGCTTCTTGTGATCACTGTCCTCTAGGCTGGGAGAGACAGTTACATGAGTTGTGTGATACACTATAGGATTCTCCGTATGGATTCTGTCCCTGCTTGGAAATGTCTCAGAGCTACTGCTTCCTGGTCCTGTGAAGCAGCTCTGTGGGCTCACCTCCTGCTGAACAGCACTTATTTGTGGATTCTGTCCATAGCTCCTCATTCATACATCCTGTCCTGGTGTTGGTGGCAACATTCTGCTTTCCAGATCTCAGAGTTGCCTCCTCATCTTCTGTTGCTTCATCTATATTTTGTTACCTGTCAACCAGGTGCTTTTATTAAACTATTTCTTCTTGGATTCTGTGCTGACTTTAAAGTAGTCTGTCTCTCTTTATCTCTCTCTTTCTTCCTCTTTTTGTTAACGTCTAGGCCAATACAGCTGAGAATCATGTCCCAAATGAATTAGCCATGTCACAGAATCAAAATCAACTTGGCTCCACACCTGTTATTCTATAATTAGGGCATTAACTGGAAGGGAGTGAGACCTTAGATTTGGGATGGTAACATTGGACGAACTAAGATGCATCTCGTAAGTCTTAAACCCCCAAGCCCTGCTAAAAATTTTGTCCACTGAAGCAGCTGATCCTCCTCTGTGTGGTGAGATGGGCCTTCTTGCTTCTCTTATTTAGAAATCCTGCAATGACCTCATTTCAGTTGGATGCCTTATCATGACATCTATTCACTGTAATCTCTCAGTTGGCAAAGTTTTTATCTAAAGGGCCAGATGGTGAATGCTTTAGGCTTCCTGGGCCATATAAACTGTGTCACAGCTACTCAGCTCTGCCATTGTGGTACAAAAGCCAATATAGGAAGGGTATAAATTTATGAGCATGACCATGTTCCAGCAAATATTATTGATGAAAACTGAAATCTGAATCTCATATAATTTTCACCTGTTACAAAATATCATTTTTCTTTTGATTTTTTTCAGCTGTTCAAAAATATAAAAATTTTAAATACATTCTTATTGGCAGACTGTACTGGTCACAGGCTTGGTTTGGTCTATGAACCATAATTTCCCCACCTCTACCCTATGCCCATCAACCCTTAAGCTCACAGATTAATAATAAAAGTTGTAAGAGCTTCCCTGGAAGGTGGTAGTTTATAAGCCAAAACAATTTATGAGATTTTGCTAATTTATATTGATACATTCCGGGGAACATGGAAGGAAATAGATACTAAAGGTTCTAGACAAAGAAGTATGGGATGATCTTTGGTTCAAATTAATTAGCAGAGGTGAAAATACTTGAGATTTTGGATTTAGTGTGTTCTCTCTAACATTTGGGAGTGGCTGTAACAGTTACACTGATTGACTGAAACATGTGATTAGTGGTGGTATATTTGCAATGAAGTTGGCATAATAAAAAGAAAGGAATTCACAGGCCTATACACAAGGTGCTATGGGAGTGTATTTATGATGCTCATTACACTCGCCCTTGACTGTGCTGCTTGTGGTCACAGTCCTCTGTAGGCGGGGAGAGACAGTTATATGAGTTGTTTGGTACACTATGGGGTTCTCTGTATAGATAATTAGGTCATCAGATGGAGATAATGTTATTTATTCCATTCCAATCTGCCTGCCTCTTATTTCCTTTGACATATTCCACTGGCCAGAATCCTCTTATTGAATAGAAGAGGTGAGTCCTAATCCTTGCTGTGTTCCCAATCTTGAAGGGAATGTATTTTCATTCTTTCACAGTTTCGTATGATGCTGGCTGTAGGTTTTTGGTAGAGGCCCTTTACTAGAGTAAGGAAGCTCCCTTCGATACTCACTTTAACGAAAGGTTTTTTTATTTGGTTACTTGGTTTACCAGAAATGGATGTTGAATTTGTCAAATGCCTTTTTTTGCATTTATACACTCAATGGTTTTTATTCTTTAGTCTGTTGATATGGTGAGTATATTAGTGATGGATTTTTCATTTGTTGAACCAGCTTTGCATTACTAGAATAGACCTCACTTGGTCGTAATACATTCTTTTTTTTATGTTGGATTAGATTTGGTAAAATTTGTTAAGAAATTTTGCATTTATGTTGATGAGGTGTATTAAACTGAAGCTGTCTTTTTCATAAGGAGTATTTTTTTATTTGATATCAGGGTAATCATGCTTATATAAAATTAGTGCATTTTCTCTATTTTTGTCTTTTTTTCTTGAGTTTATGTACAGCATAGAGAACAGAAAAACTATAGAAAAATTGACAAAACTAGTTTTTAAAAAAGATAAAATTATCTAAACATACTAAGCATCAAAAAGAGAAGATTTAAATAAATAAAATCAGAATTGAAAGAGGAGACATTACATTGATTTTGCACCATTGTCAAAAATCACTTGAGTATATTTGTCTGGGTCTATTTCTGGAATCTCTTATCTGTTTCATTGAACTATTTGTCTATCTTTCTGATGTTACATTGTTTTGATTATTCTAAATATATGGTAAGACTTAAAATTGGGCAAATTGATTCTATTTCAAAATTGTTTTCACTATTCTAATTACTGAGCCTTTCTATTTAAATTTTAGAATCATTTTTTAAAAAAACATGGCAATGATTTGATAGGCGTTCATTAAACCTATAGATCAATTTGGGGAGAATTGACCTCTTTACTCTGTTGTAATTTTTAAGCCATGAACATGCTTTGGACTTACTTGTTCAGCATTTTCTGATTTTAAGCATATAGTTCCTATGCATGTTTTGTTTTCTTTATATTATTATGGGGCTGAATTATATCTTCCCAAAATAATATATTAAAATTCCACCCCTAGTACCTAAGAATGTGACTGTATTGGAGACAGGGCCTTTAAAGAGGTAATGAATGTAAAATGAAGTCATATGGAGGTTACTAATCCAATGTGACTGCTGTTCTTATAAAAGAGATTAGGACACAGACACACTCTGAGAATGGATCACGTGACCACAGACACCGGTCATCTGTAAGCCAGAGAGAAAGGCCTTAGATGTAACCAGCCCTGTCAACTTGATCTGGGACTTCTAGCCTTCAGAATTATGAGAAAATAAATTACTATTGTTTAAACCACCTACTTTGTGGTACTTTGTTATGGAAGCCCTAGTAAACTGATATGCCTAAATATTTTCACTTTTTTAGAGAAATTATAAATGGTATTGTTTTCAATTTTTGTTTTATTTGTTCTGTGCTAATATAAATATGATGGATTTGTGTTTGTTGAACTTGTATCCAAGTTCAACTTGTGTCAAGTTCCATTTGACTGTGTATCAGCATTTTATCATTTTACTGCTCACTTTCTAAGCTCTCATTTTTAGTTTTCTGAGCTTTTATTTTTAATATCACTTGAGATTTTCATATATTACATAGATAATTATGTCTTCCACAACTAGGGACAGTTTGGTTTTTTTCTTTCTAATCTGTGTGCTTTTATTGACTTACTGTATTGGCTAGTACTTCTAACACTATGGTCAATAGGAGTGGTAAGAGTGGATGTGATAGATAGATACATACATATATATAAAGAGATAAATAGAAAGATACTTTTTTGACGTAAATTGTTTAAAAATGTGTTGTGCAGTATCTGTGTGTCATGAGTTTGGAGATTTTCCTGTTCTAACTTAATTCTTTTATACTCAGAGAATGCATATTGTATTCTTTAAGTTCTTTTACAGTTGTTTTGTTTTATTAAATGGGATGTGGTCTCAGTGAATACTCAATGTGTGTATGAAAAAATGTGTATCATGCTGTGGTTAAGTGTTCTATAAATGCCAGTTTATAGACATTGTTTGATGGTGGTGTTCATGTCTTCTAAACAATTTTTTATCTATTTTTTATCACTTATTGTGAGAGTGTTGTTGAAGTCTCCAACTGACTGTATATTTGTATATGTGTTCTTTTCACTGTGTCAGTTTTTGCTTCATAAGTTTTGCAGTTCTGTTGTTTGGTGCCTGATTTAAGATTATTATGTTTTATTGGTGAAGTGAACCTTTTTATTATGTTATAATGCCCTTTGTCCTTGATAATTTTTTCTTTGACATTAACTTGCAACTGTTATTAGTAAAGCCTCTCTGGCTTTCTTGTGATAAATATTGACATATATTTTTTCTTAACTTACTTTTATCTTATGTGAGTTTATATAAACAGCATATAGTTGGGTCATTTTTTCCCCTGAATTTTGCTAATCTGTGGCTTTTAATGGGTATGTTTAGACAGTTTGCATTAAATCTAATTGTTGACATGTTTCTATCCCAGTCTGTCATTTTAGTATTTGTTTTATGTTTTACACTTTCAGTCCTCTGAGTTGGCATTAAAAGTTCAGCTTCTGTTTCCTACATCTTGCCCTAAAAAATGACAGCCAGCCAAATATCATCTCTCATGTTCGTACTCTGTCTTTAACCTCCATTCAAATTCTGATACTAGGATTTTCCCTTTCTTTTAACCTTAGCTCTTGTAGAACAATAGGAGAGGGTGCCTATTAACTGATATTTCCATGTTACTCCATAATATTCCGTATTTTCATTCACACACATACACAATCTTTTTTCTCTTTAGGTATGAATTACTTAAATTTTACTCACTATAAATTTCAATTGATGTAGACAAATTAGAGAAGTTCTAGGAATTTTGCTTATAATAGATTAAAGAGATGAGAAAAATTTCTCAATTTATCAAAGTTAATGTGAAATGCCACTTTACACTGCTGCTAAACTTTTTTTCATACCTCCTCATTCCAAATTTCCTCATCATTGCTTTGTCTCTGTCTCTGACTCCTGCCGGGTTATGTCTTCACTCATGTGCTACCAGCGCTGGCCGGGGTCCCACACAGCCGCCCCACGCGTCACCATGCTGCTGGATCATTCCCCAGACTCTGTAGCTCAGCTGAAATATCAATTCCACAAATAGGTTGTTCTAACCACCTTATCTATATCCACCTCAAAATTCTTTACTGGAGCACTTCATTTTCTTCAGAGCACTTTACATGACCTCTCTCTGTTTGGGAAGTTGGTTGTCAATTTCCTGTGCATTTTCTTTATTCCTTTCTTTAATATAAGTTCCAGGTGTAGACAACATCCATTTCTTGCATGCGCGCCACTATATTCCTATTTATTGTAGGGCCTGACACATGTGCATATTGAATTAAAATGTGTTAATGGGAGGGGCTGATTTAATGGAAAGTTAAATAAATGTGTTTCATATTGATTCCATTGGAAATACTAAATGTGTTTAGGGCTATAGAAGCCAGGCATGACAAATTTTAAACAAGAGACTATTGGTAGTTTCATTACTTTTTACATTTTGTGCTTCTTAATCTATTAACTAGTATGGGTATGCATATCAATGACATATCAAAATAAGATGTAAAATAGCTTAACATAGACAATATTAAAATACAAAAATTTTACAGGAATAAAAATGGTTTAATTTATTTCTTGATGTGTTTTCTTCTTATATGATTGTTTTCCCTTTGATTCTCTTTAGTATCCAGATGCAATAACTTTAGAGGGATTTTCAGTTATTATAGCTCAACTACTTGGCCTTAAAATTGGATTAACATATGATGACATCAATAAGTGTTCTTGTCCAAGAGCTACGTGTATAATGAATCATGAAGCATTGTAAGGCTTCTTTTTACTCATAATTAACTTTACATTTATATATGAGGTTGTTTACAACACGTAATGAATTTATTCCTTATACTCCTTATAGTCAACTCCACATCAAAAATTGGAAAGGTATGTTTTGCACAATGAGATTCACATTAACAAATCTGTTTAAGTGACATAAAACTACAGAAAGCAGTAAATCCCACTATTGAGAAATATTCACTCAAAAGAATTAGAGGGAAAACTTTAAGATTTATGAATACTATGAAATATTGTGTAAACATATGTTGCCACTGTTTGACTCTTGTAGTAAGTTGCTGCTCAAGGCAAAGATGTCTAACATCAACCTGAATGATATAACATAGTACTGGCAGTTTTAGCTAGTATTTTAAAGGAAAGAAAAAGGAGGAAAGATTTGAAGAGGACAAACATTGTCTTTATTTGCTGGCATTATAATTGACTACCTACTTAAATCAACAGAATCAGTATACAGTTAGAACAATAACAATATCAAAAACTCATTAGGATGATCATTCTAGAAAAACAGCATATGTATACCAGCACTAAGGATATAGGTAAACCTACTATAAAATGGCTGATATTTCCAGAAGAGGCTTATAAATTCAGCACAATCCCAAAAATATTTAAACTGTTTTTAGGAGCTTGATAAACTATATGGGATGTGTAATAATGGAGATGATAAATACAAACTTTTGGGGAGTATGAAGTGGAATTTATGATCAAAAGAGAGCTTGTATGGATGGGAAACACTATATATCATCTTTATAGTCAACTCCACATCAGACTGATAGAAATGAAGAGAAAAGTAGGAAAAGATGATGCTGGATATAAAGAAGACTTAAAAAGCAAAATCATTGAGTAAAGCAGGATAGAACCTAGTGCATAAGTGGAGGGTCTGGCTTTAATTAAAGCGGGGTATATTCAATTATTGTGATAAGGTCTGGGGAGAGTAAATAGATAAAGATGTATGTAATTTAGTTGATGGAGGTGCAAAGATGAGGACAGTCTCTTCTGATAGGGAGCTGAAGGCAAGGAATATAAGAGCTTTGTTAGAAGACATAGAACACTTGGTCTTGGAGACTAGAAAATAGAAATGATTTAGGAAGTGCGATAGGATTGCTGGGCCTTTTGAAGACACCCTTAGAATTTGTAAGTACAAATTGAGTATGAAATCAAATGCTGTATTTTTTTATATTGGTCCATTTAATTTCAGCTACTGAAGTGCATATGTAAAGAATGAATAGTTGATCTTTTGCTAAGTTAACTTCCATGGATTCAGAAAGAGTTAGGGCTGCAGGAGAAGCTGTGTTCCCCTGATATAATTACTTCAGCTTTTTCCTACCCCACAGTGGGAGCTTTGGAAAGAAATTAAAGTATTTTGAGACAACTGCCTTAGCTCACCTTATTTTATAATTGTCTTTAGGCCTGGATGGTAATCTTCCCCACAGATAGCCAATCAATTAATATTTACTTTGAAATGTCTTATGTCTATTAAAATTCTATATACTTAGTCATTTATATATATAATATATATGTGTTATATCTATATATTCTTTTTCTTATTAAGGTATCATTGATATACACTCTTATGAAGGTTTCACAAGAAAAACGATGTGGTTATTACATTCACCCTTACTGGGTCCCCCCCATACCCCACTGCAGTCACTGTCCATCAGTGTAGTAAGATGCCACAGAGTCACTACTTGTCTTCTCTGAGCTACACTGTCTTCCCTGTGACCCCACACACACCATGTGCACCAATCATGATACCGCACAGTCCCCTTCTCCCTCCCTCCAAACCTGCCCTCCCTCACCCCTCCCTTTTGGTAATCACTAGTCCCTTCTTGGAGTCTGTGAGTCTGCTGCTATTTTGTTCCTTCAGTTTTGCTTCATTGTTATACTCCACAAATGAGGGAAATCATTTGGTATTTGTCTTTCTCTGCCTGACTTATTTCACTGAGCATAATACCCTCTAGCCCCATCCATGTTTTTGCAAATGGTAGGATTTGTTTCTTTCTTATGGCTGAATAGTATTCCACTGTGTATATGTACCTTGTCTTCTTTATCCATTCATCTACTGATGGACACTTAGGTTGCTTTCATATCTTGGCTATTGTAAATAGTGCTGCAATAAACATAGGGATGCATATGTCTTTTTGAATCTCAGAACTTGTTTTCTTTGGGTAAATTGCTAGGAGTGGAATTCCTGGGTCAAATGGTATTTCTATTTATAATTTTTTGAGGAACTTCCATACTTCTTTTTACAATAGTTGAACTAGCTTACATTCCCACCAGCAGTGTAGGAGGGTTCCTCTTTCTCAACATCCTCACCAGCATTTGTTGTTCCTAGTCTTTTCTATGTTGGCTATCCTAACTGATGTGAGGTGATATCTCATTGTGGTTTTAATTTGCATTTCCCTGATAATTAGTGATGTGGAGCATCTTTTCTTGTGCCTGTTGGCCATCTGAATTTCTTCTTTGGAGGATTGTCTGTTCATATCCTCTGCCCATTTTTAAATAGGGTTATTTGCTTTATGAGTGTTGAGACATGTGAGTTATTTATATATTTTGGATGTTAACCCCTTGTCAGATATGTCATTTACAAATATATTCTCCCATACTGTAGGATACCTTTTTGATGCAATTGTTAATGGAATTGTTTTCCTGTTCTGCTGATGGTGTCCTTTACTGTACAGAAGCTTTTTAGCTTGATGTAGTCCCATGTGTGTTCATTTTTGCTTTTGTTTCCCTTGCCCAAGGAGATGCATTCAGGAAAAAGTTCTTCATGTTTATATTCAAGAGATTTTTACCTATGTTTTCTTCTAAGAGCTTTATGGTTTCATGATTTACATTCAGGTCTTTGATCCATTTTCAGTTTACTTTTATGTATGGGGTTAGACAATAATCCAGTTACATTCTCTTGCATATAGCTGTTCAGTTTTGCCAACACCAGCTGTTGAGGAGACTGTCATTTCCCTATTGAATGTCCATGGCTACTTAACATATATAAATTGACCATATATGTTTGGGGTTATATCTGGGCTCTCTAGTCTGTTCCATTGATCTATGGGCCTGTTCTTGTGCCAGTACCAAATTATCTTGAGTACTGTGGCTTTGTAGTAGAGCTTGAAGTTAAGGAGCATAATTCATCCACTTTATTCTTCCTTCTCAGGATTGCTTTTGGCTATTCGGGGTCTTTTGTGGCTCCATATGAGTTTTAGAACTATTTGTTCAAGTTTGTTGAAGAATGCTGTTAGTATTTTGATAGGGATTGCATTGAATCTGTAGGTTGCCTTAGGCAGGATGGCCATTTTGACAATATTAATTCCTCCTACCCATGAACACGAGATGTGTTTCCATTTATTGGAATCTAATTTCTTTCATGAGTGTCTTGTAATTTTTAGAGTATAGATCTTTCATTTCCTTGTTTAGGTTTATTCCTAGGTATTTTATTCTTTTTGATGCAATTGTGAATGGAATTGTTTCCTGATTTCTCTTTCTGCAAGTTCATTGTGAGTGTATAGGAATGCAACAGATTTCTGTGTATTATTTTGTATCCTGCAACTTGGCTGAATTTTGATATTAGATCTAGTAGTTTTGGAGTGGATTCTTTAGGGTTTTTATGTACAATATCATGTCATCTGCAAACAGGGACTGTTTAACTTCTTCTTTGCCTGTCTGAATGCCTTTTATTTCTTTGTGTTGTCTGATTGCTGTGGCTAGGACCTCCAGAACTATGTTGAATAAAAGTGAGGAGAGTGGGCATCCTTGTCTTGTTTCTGATCTTAAAGGAAAAGTTTTCAGCTTTTCACTGTTAAGTATGATGATGGCTATGGATTTGTCATGTATGGCCTTTCTTATTTTGAGGTACTTGCCCTGTATACACATTTTGTTGAGAGTTTTTATCATGATTGGATGTCGAATTTTGTCAAATGTTTTTTCAGCATCTATGGAGATGACATGTGGTTTTTGTCCTTCTTTTAATTGATGTGGTGAATGATGTTGATGATTTTAGAATGTTGTACCATCCTTGCATCCCTGGAATTAATCCTACTTGATCATGATGGGTGATCTTTTTTATGTATTTTTAAATTTGGTTTGCCAATATTTTGTTGAGTATATTTGCATCTATGCTCCTCAGGGATATTCACTTTTAGTCTGTGGTTTTCTTTTTTTGTGGTGTCTTTGCCTGGTTTTGGTATTAGAGTGATGCTGGCCTCATAGAATGAGTTTGGGAATATTCCTTCCTCTTCTACTTTTTAGAAAACTTTAAGGATAATGGGTATTAGGTCTTCACTAAATGTTTGATAAAATTCATCAGTGAAACCATCTGTTCCAGGGTAGATTTTTGAATATCAATTCAATTTCATTGCTGGTAATTGGTCTATTCAGATTTTCTGTTTCTTCCTGGGTCAGCCTTGGAAGATTGTATTTTTCTAGAAAGTTGTCCATTTCTTCTAGGTTATCCAGTTTGTTAGCATGTAGTTTTTCAAAGTATTCTCTCATAATTCTTTGTATTTCTGTGATGTCTGTAGTGATTTTTCCTTTCTCATTTCTAATTCTGTTTATGTGTGTAGGCTCTCTATTTTTCTTGGTAAGTCTGGCTAGGGGGTTATCTATTTTGTTTATTTTCTTGAAGAACCAGCTCCTGCTTTCATTGATTCTTTCTATTGTTTTATTCTTCTCAATTTTATTTATTTATTTATGCTCTAATCTTTATTATGTCCCTCCTTTTACTGACTTTAGGCCTCGTTTGTTCTTCTTTTTCTAGAAGAAGGTCATGTTTGTGCTCACTTTTTTGGTCCCTTCCATTATTTCTATATTCTTTTTACTGACTCCACATTAATTCAATTGATATAAACTTTTATTATGACAGTTCAAACCCCTTTTCTAAATTTCAGAAACCTACCTCACAGCTTGAAGTACAGCATGGTCCAGAACCACATTTTGCTGAGCCTTTCAGTTTACATGTTTTGTAATCACAGCACTCTTTAAATAGACATTCCTAAAATTTCATAAGAAGAAATACCATTCTAGTTCAACCACTTAACAGCTGTTTCTGAATCAACTTTTTAAATCCTTGCTTGTATTCAACTTTTCAATTATACATTCTAGTTATATTTTTAAAAAGTTGTTCTTCTTTTTCTAGTTTTGTTAATTGTGAGTTTAGACTGTTCATATGGGATTGTCCTTCTTTCCTGAAGTAGGTCTGTATTGCAATATACTTCCCTCTTAGCACGGCCTTCGCTGCATCCCACAGATTTTTTGTGGTGTTGAATTGTTGTTGTCATTTGTCTCCATATATTACTTGATCTCTGTTTTTATTTGGTCATTGATCCATTGGTTATTAGGAGCATGTTGTGAAGCTTCCAGTGTTAGTGAGATTTTTCATTTTCTTTGCGTAATTTATTCCTAGTTTCATTCCTTTGTGATCTGAGAAGCTGGTTGGTACAATTTCAATCTTTCTGAATTTACTGAGGATCTTTTTGTGGCCTGCTATATGATCTATTCTTGAAAATGTTCCATGTGCACTTGAGAAGAATATGTATCCTGCTGCTTTTGGGTGAAGTGTTCTGTAGATGTCTGTTATGTCCACCTGTTCTAATATGCTGTTCAGTGCCTCTGTCTCCTTACTTAATTTCTGTCTGGTTGATCTGTCCTTTGGAGTGAATGGTGTGTTGAAGTCTCCTAGAATGAATGCATTGCATTCTATTTCCCCTTTTAATTCTGTTAGTATTTGTTTCACATATGTAGGTGCTCTTGTGTTGGGTGCATAGATATTTATAATGGTTATATCCTCTTGTTGGATGGACCCCTTTATCATTATGTAATGTTCTTTTTTGCTTCTTGTGACTTTCTTTGATTTGAAGTCCACTTTGTCTGATACAAGTACTACAACCCCTGATTTTTTTCTCCCTATTAGTTGCATGAAATATCTTTTTCCATCCCTTCACTTTTAGCCTGTGTATGTGTTTGTGTTTGAAGCGAGTCTCTTATAGGCAGCATTTAGATGGATCTTGTTTTTTAATCCATTCAGTGACTGTATGTCTTTTGATTGGTGCATTCAGACCATTTACATTTAGGGTGGTTATCGATAGATATGTACTTATTGCCATTGCAGGCTTTAGATTCATGGTTACCAAAGGTTCAAGGTTAATTCCCTTACTATTTAACAGTCTAATTTAACTCACTTAGTATGCTATTACAAACATAAAGTTTCTTTTTTTACCCTCCATTTTCTTCCTCCTCCTCTTCTATATATTTATTTTAAAAGAATATTAAATGTTAACATAATGTTAAAGATTAGCAATGATAAATGAAAATTTAACCATGGCTGACTTCACCTCTGCCAAAGTACAAGGGTTTCATTTGAGCCATCTCAAAATTCATACTGTCACATGTGGAGCATTATTTAGACGTGGTTTTATTTGCATGATTGATTTACCTGAGGAATGTTATTTTATTTTAGGGGATCCAGTGGTATAAAGATTTTTAGCAACTGTAGCATGCATGACTATAAATATTTTATTTCAAAACTTGAGGCGAAATGTCTTCAGAACTTACCAAAGTTGCAACCATCATATCAAAATCAATCAGTGTGTGGTAATGGGATTCTGGAACCTGACGAAGAATGTGACTGTGGCAGTGAAGAGGTGAGTAATATACCATCTGAAATAGGAGCACAATTTGTTGTGTTTTCAGTAAGTTGTTGTCATGGTATATACGGAATGATATGCACCTATGTCCTCCACATAGAACTTAGATATGAAATGAGGATGAGATATGTCAGTCACTTTCCCACCCCTCTTCAGTAGAGAAGACAAATTAATCATGAAAACTTGGTTTGCACACACTCTTCCCGATTATGCCAGCAGAGAGATTTTTGACTACATAGGTTTAATGGATGCCTTTTTTTCCACTTCTTTCCTAACTCAGATGCCCTCAGTGTCTGTTTTCTCTTTAGACTTCTCTGGAATTTCATTGTCTTGTGGTTGCAAGAATGTCAAAACATTATAATGTGTGTTTCTTAATTATTTCCAAACATTTTTGCATTTCTGTTTCAAGATGTGTGAAATTTGTTCTATTTGCTCACTTCTAAATATAGATATGCCGTCTACCACAGGTCCATCAACCAAAAGTTCAATGTATACTATTCTCAGCAGATAGGAACAACATTTAGTGTATTAAACATCATTATTGTGTAATATTTAACAATTGTCCTCTATTTAAATAAAAGTTTCTTCATAATTACTCCCCCAGCAGTTACATGAATTTCTTATCCACCTACAGAAACAGCTGGCCACCACTTTTTTACATAAAATTAAACCCCTACAAGTTCTCTTAATTATCCACCATTCCCCAAAGTAAAGAATGTGTGTGTGCATGTCTCTGTACATATGTATATAGGTTTTCCAATTATCTCAGACCTTCCACTGTCATCTTGCAATTCATCTATCCTTAAATATGGTGCCAATTACCTGCCAAAAAATCCAGTTATTTTTCAAGAAGAATAGAATAAAACAATGTAATCTGGGACAAGGTCTGCGCATTGTGAGATTCCACAGCTCCAGGCAGACCAGCTCACAGCAAATACTGTCAGTGCCCCACCAGTTCCTCCTAGGCACTGACTGTCTCTGCAGAATGTTTTTGCTCTAAGTATCCGGTCTCCCTGTTGGCTTCTCCTGCCCTCAGTAACATGCTCAGCCACAGGTAGGATGGGCTTAACATGCTCAGGACTTAGGCACCTGTGATCATGATGGGTGAAGAAAAAAAGCAAAGTCACTCTAATTATGTCTAACAGGGAAACCTTGAAAATTGTCCAAGTCACAAAAATGGTCAAACACGCTCCTGTCCTGGCTAACAGGAGTAATTCCTGCTTCTTTACTGGTTTCAATGTCAGCATTGGAATAGTCTTTCTTCTTCAAGAGAAGAATCCAGTAATAGATGTACCCCTGTTTTCTGATAGCCTCTAGGCTAGCAAAGTCCAGATTCCTTAAACCTTTCCCCATATCACCTAACATGAGCCCATATCCTATAATTATACCTTCTTATGAGGTGTCCACAGTTATCATGGTGTGTATTCTCCTTTTGCTAAAACTAGCAATAAATCCAATTTGTTCAGCTTATAGATGTATTCTAGATGGTCCTTAGGAAAATGACGTTGACACCTATATCTTCATAAATATCCCCCATTTGACACAAATACAGCTCTTTTTATGCACCCTCCCACACACATGCAGGTGTGTATATTTATTTGTTCCTGTATTCACAAATGTAATAACTAGTAATAAATATTTGAACAATTATTCCACAAAATATAGAGATACATTTCAGAAAAAAATTAATCTAAAGTTTTTAAAAAACAAAATATCAGAAGAAAGCATTGATAATATTTTATAATCTTGGCATAATGGAAGTCTTGGTAAGGAGACAAAAAACCCAATGTGCATAAAGAGAACATTGTAAATTATCCCAAATGGCAGGCACCATTAAAAAGTCAAACAATAGACTGCAAAGAAATGTTATAAACATATAAAAAGGAGAAAGGATAACTGGATAATATATAAAAGCTGTTCCTACTATTTAGTGGGGAAAAGACAGGGAAAAAGAATGTATTTAATTCACAAATAAAATTGTACAAAATTCAAATTCATGCTCAAACTCACTAATAAGCAGAGTAATAATGACAATGAACAGTGAGGCACCGTCTCCTCATTAGCTTGTTATAAGTTAAGCTGATAGGTTGTAATCAGTATGGATGACCATGGTTGGCAGAGCATCCTTGTTTACTGCTCATATACATACGTACACTCATGTAACGGTACTGAACTTTGGAACATGAACACTGAAATATACCAAGTGATTACCCCTGGAAAATCTGGGCAATATGTGTTTATTCATCACTAAGGCCATCCTACTTATGGCTGAGCAATATCCAACATATTTCTTCTTATGAAATAACTATAGCTTTTACTCTAAACTTTCTATATTCTAGGATGGGAATATTTATAAATACATATTGATTCACATAAACACATGAAAAAGCAGAAACAAACAAATGGAAAATTAAAGAAGAATCCTGCCTTCATTCTAACTGGCAAGATCTTTGAAACTAGATTTTTGAGTAAATGGAAAATGTTTGATTAAAAAAAGAATATAAAAATATTAAAGAATTACATCACTACAATGTATTTACATGGAAACAATATTTGGTTTGTTGACATTATTTATCACCTAATTTGAATAATAGTTGACTGTCATTTACCTTGTAAAACTTATATGTACTGACATATCTTTTTCTGTTCTAAATGTATTTTTATTATATTGCCTAACTCTAACCCTAGTCACAAAGGAAAACTTTAGTAAACAAATCGCTAAAAAGAAATTGGGGAGAGTTTTCTCTTGGGAATTCATACTTTTCCTCCCAAGATTTTGTTCTTGCTATTCATTACCAAATATTTCAGGTAATAAATTATTACCTGACATATATAACAAAAATATTAATTACCAAATATTTCAGGTAATTTAATGATGAACTGATATTTTAGATGTTTTTAGTTCTTGCACATGCTTTTGGATAGTATTGAAATAGTGAAATAGTAAAGCTTCATTGAATATAACTAGAATGTATAATTGAAAAGTTGAATACAAGTGAGGATTTAAAAAGTTGATTCAGAAACAGCTGTTAGTTGGTTTAACTAGAATGATATTTCTTCTTATGAAATTTTAGGAATGTCTGTTTAAGGAGTGCTGTGATTACAAAACATGTAAACTGAAAGGCTCAGCGAAATGTGGTTCTGGACCATGCTGTACCTCAAGCTGTGAGGTAGGTTTCTGAAATTTAGAAAAGGGGTTTGAACTGTCATAATAAAAGTTTATATTAATTGAATTAATGTGGAGTCAGTAAAAAGAATATAGAAATAATGGAAGGGACCAAAAAAGTGAGCACAAACATGACCACAGGTGGATAGGAAAGCAACTATAAATAAGAAGGCATCTTATATTGGTACTGATCACTCTACTGTGTTGAAACCATAGCTTACCGTCTTCTAAATTATCAGATAAAGTGCTGGATAAACATACACATTACTATATCAAGATATATCAACTCTTGAGGAAATTGTGAAGTCAAATAAATGGTGTATGACCAATTGTGGGAAAAAAATTCTAACACGAATAGCAGACAAAATGTGTAGCAGACTAAACATGTCAGATATAGAATATGCAAAGAATTCTCACACACTGATAAGTAAAAGACAAATCACACACACACACACACACACACACACACACACACACACACACACACACACACACACACAAACATAGGCCAAGGGAGCCCCCAGGATATTTTCAACAATGAAAATAGAATTATTCAATGAATACACTGATCGTCTGCAGTATTAAAATATGGGCTTAACATATATATAATAATATATATAATAATTATAATTATAATTATAACATAAATAATAATTCATTAATAATCAATAATAATATATAATAATTATATAATCATTAATAATCATAATTATATTATAATTATATAATTTATATATATTATAATATATATTATATTATATTATAATTAATAATAATAGTTAATATAACGATATAATTGATGATAATAATATAATAATTACATAATTATATTATATAATGATTATATAATAATATATATAATAATTATAATTATAATTATAACATAAATAATAATTCAATATCCTAAAGCAGTCATCCAAATGGCAATTTTAAACACAATATCAGATATTGGCCAAGGAGTGGGGATGGAGATCATGCTTGGACAGTGTTGTGGAATTTTGAATTACTATAATCCCTCTGGTGAACAATATTTGTGTATCTCTGAGCTGAGTATAAATTATCAAGTTAATTGATTATCACCAGTTCTCTCATGTATATACCTTAGAAACATGCACATGTATGGAAAATTCAGTAAAGAATATTAATTATAGAATTGTTTGTAAAAGCAAATCATAAAGGCAAACAATATTTATTGGTATTGGATGGCACATAAATGTACATTGTATAAGAGGTATTTAACAAATGCAGGCTAAACATACATATGCTAATACGACATTATCTTCAAGATAAGTTGGGATAAGAAAGCAAGTGGCATGATACAAAGATTTCATAATTCCAGTACTGGTATATTATATATGCATAAATACTCCCTATATTCTTTTTGCCCAATTCTTCAATAACTTATAATTTATTATAGTAAAATTATTTCAATGAACACTTTTGAATATTATGGCAAGCATATTCAGTCTTATAACTTAACACCACAATCAAGGGATAGGCAGTCTCACCACTACTCCCCCAGAAATGCCCCTGTTCCCCACTGCAGGCAGTCCACACTTCCACCCAAGGGCCCTGGCAACCACAGGTCTGTCTCCTGCATCTGTAATTTTGCTTTTGCAAAATGTAATATAAACTGAATCATTATATGGGTAAACATTATAATTAGGCATCTTAGCATAATGCATTTGAGATTCACTCATGTGGTGGTGTTTCTTACTTTTTTCTTTTTGTGTTGCTGAATAGTATTGTAAGCATGCACCACAGTGTGTTAATCCTTCCCCCAGCTGAGGAACACCCGGGTTTTCAGTTTTTGGTGATGCAGATACAGCCGCTATAAACAGTCTTCATAAGCAAATTTTGTATGAACATAGTTCTATTTCACTTAAATATCTATAAGGGAGATTGCTGGGTCATGCTGTAAATGTATATTGAATTTCATAGGACACTGAAAATCTATTTTTCAAAGTGGCCAACCTATTTTGAGTACCCGTAGCATTGATGAGACATGCAGTTGCTCTGCAAACTAAATGTAAACTCTAAAACCATAAGACATAGGGTTTCATTTTATGTTTGCTACTGGTGTATTGTTTATACTTTAAAACTCATTTTACTGGTTGTCTTGAGTTTACAATTCTTTGATTAATTAGTCTGATTTCATATAATACACCACTTCATGTGTAGTGAATTAATCTCAGAGCACTCCCATATACTAGAAACACAAAATATACTGTTACTATTTTTGCTTTATATAGTCTTTTATCTTTTAGAGCCAGTAAAATAAGGAAAGTAAAAAAAACTTTATTATTAACATCATTAATTCCATTTCCAGCTCTCTTTTTCCTTTTGTAGATTTCTGTTTACTGTCACATTGCTTGTGCCTAAAGACCTCCCTTTACTCTTTCCTGTAATTTAGGTCTGCTGAAAATGAATTCTCTCAATTATTATTGGCCTATGAAAGTCTTTATCTCTCATACATTTTTGAAATATGGATTTCTCAGGTATGGCATTCTAGCTTGGAAGTTCCTTTTTATCTTGTCATTTTGAAGATGCCACTTCATTCCTTACCCATCTTTGTCTCAATCTGTGAAGTGCTAATTCAGTCAGACTGGATTGTAGAATGTCTCTGAGTGTATGAGAGCATATATAGTGGGTCAGCATTTGGACCTGTGAATTTCATTGTGGAAGGCAATGGATGACCGATTGAATCAACAGGCCATAATATTTGACAGCTGCTCTACTCTTTACCTGAGCTATGCAAGAAGGCCCTTCTGCTCTCAGATAATTAAATATGATGATGATGGTCATAACCTATTTCATACATTGATTCCATGTGTTATTCTAAGCACTTTTTAAATATTAATTCCATTTAATACTAACAATCCTCTGACAGAATGATTATTATCTCAAGTTTACAAATGAAGAAACTGCAAAACAGATTATGTACCTCAGCCACAAATAAGCTAGTAAAAATCCAAGCGAGGGATTTTAGGGCTGTTTGGCTCCTGGGTCTCTCCAAGAACAAAAAGACAGAGGCAATGTTCCTCCAGTTTTGAGGGACAGGTGTGTTTAAACTAATCTGTCCCCCTCCAAAAGCCGGTAGAGTTGGATGGCCTCCTCCTGAGAGGAGAACACAAAGCAGTTGCAAATCCTCTGTTGGAAAGGATCCTTTCGTATCTCTGAGAGAGTTACTTTTCTTCAGGCTGCATAATGAACACTGTACCTGATTTTTCCTTCAAAAAACTCAGAGCCGTGGGAACTCTGGGATTCCCTCAAGTATCCACGATCAGGCAAATTTTATTTGTAAATTCTCTTGAGTAGGTAACTGAGGGTGGTCATTCGCAGGACATGATTTTCTTTCTCTTTTTCCCTCGTAGATATCAGTGGCGGGCACTCCATGCAGAAAGAGTGTTGATCATGAGTGTGATTTCACAGAATATTGCAATGGGACCTCCAGTACTTGCGTCCCGGACACCTACGCGCTCAATGGCCAGCTGTGCAGGTCGGAGACCGCGTTCTGCTATGATGGACAGTGCCAAACTGCTGATAAACAGTGTGCCCAGGTATTTGGAAAAGGTACTGCTCCAGCTCATGTGTTTCTTTTACCTTAACCTGGGACCCTCCAGAGGATATACTACTTATCACACCTCTAGAAGTGGAGGAACCTGAAGCACAAGGTCAAGAAAGATTAAATTTCAATTAAAGGTTTGTTTTTGTAGGAGTGTTTGAGATTTTCCAGAATAGTCTTGCACATTCCTTTTCTCATGGTTTGGTCTGGTTTTCAGTGATTAGCTACCTAGGCAGAAATCTATATGATGGCTCATGATTTACAGAGAGATTGGAATGGCAAGTCAGTAGCTTCTGAAATTTGCTTAGATTCCTTTTATGTTCATGGCCTACTTTTTTTTTTTTTTTGAGAGGGCATCTCATACTTATTGATCAAATGGTTGTTAACAACAATAAAATTCAGTATACGGGGGTCAATGCTCAATGTACAATCATTAATCCATCTCAAGCCTAATTCTTGTCAGTCTCCAATCTTCTGAAGCATAATGAACAAGTTCTTACATGGTGAACGAATTCTTACATAGTGAATAAATTCTTACATGGTGAACAGTACAAGGGCATTCATCACAGAAACTTTCGGTTTTGATCACGCATTATGACCCATAAACAAT